CATTAAATCTACGGATATAAATATAATCATTGTGTTCACCAGAAATGTAGTTCTTGATTATTTCCAGACTGATTATTATTTCCCAAAATAAAAACTAATTTTCTAGTATATCTGACATTATTTAATACTGAATCAAATTATTAGTTGAATTAATTCTCAAAATTATTTTAAACCGAAAAGTTCAATATTTACTGTAATATTTAGGCATTGCTAATAAGATTCTATAAGTGGAATGACAGCTATCAACATTAATTTAATGCTTAATCCGTCAAATGAAATGAAATAAGACTATAATACAGAAATGTGTCAAATTCTCTGCGATAAGGAAGGAAAGAAAAAAAGAAGAAACCTGATTAGAATGACTGTATTGATTAAGTGTAATTTCAAGTTGAGGATTCTCAGCATACTGAATGATACCCATTCGACTACCATCCTCCGTGATATTTATCCTTCGTAGGATATGCACTGCGAAATTGAGCTATAATTAATAGGATAAATAAAGTAAGGTATGTATTACATCAATAACTGTAAATAATCTGATAACTAACAATTAATTGGCTCTTAGTTTCATATCTTGAGTATTGTTATTTGATCTCAAAAAACGAAAAAAATTTAAGTGCTTATCAAATGAAACTTTAAATTGAACTAGAAATTTGTAATGTTAGATGAATGAATCCAAATTTTTGACTAAACGTTTTAGGATGAATTCTTTTTATAGGCTAAAACTCACAAGCAATTGGAAAGTTTCATCACCAATTGAACCGGAACCATCCAATACAAGTACCAGGTCAACGCTTTTATTTGTAACGCAATCTGATCATTTGTAACATGGTTAAATTCGGTTCAGAATGCGGATCATTACAGTTGGATGAATATAAAGCATAAGAAGGAACTAAGACTACTTTCTTTGTTTTTAGTCGATTTGAGGATCTTGCAAACAGACATACGCCAACAAAGTTTGTCGTGAAATCTGACAAAAATTCATCAGGGTGGTACACATTATCACCAGCAATGATAACATCTGAGTGATAAGCAATAATTACAACAGCTGCTACTGACTGCCGTATTTCTGCTATTGTCTGCATATGAATTCAGATCCATGATTAGTTTATGAAATGAATTTTACACCAAGTCCTCACCTTTGATTATTTCAGCATCTGCGAGGGAGTTATCAATCGGTATGGTTTCTACGTTACGCACCGAACTCTATAAGGATTTGATATTATTCGACTTAAATGAAAACCAAAAAAGTAAGTTTTTTCATACTGTAAACTACGGAATTAACTTAATATAACTGACAAATTAACGGATTAATTAAAAGAACCTACAATGAAAAAGGCGATTACAATATAGAGTAAATTTCGTGAAAATAATATTCCACTGCTTCTTAACACCATTGCATTTCTGTAAGGCAAGCAATCACAAACGTGATTAGTCAATGATTTGGAGTCTGGGGATACACATATGATAAATGATGTCGCCGTGAAAACAGTCGCCATTTCCAGCTTTTTAATGAAGATGTAGTAATAAAAAATGCGAAAATTATATGCGGAAATCATAAGTGTATGGTAATATCTTAAGTTATCTGTAAGTATAACACATAAATACAGTAAAAGATGTGATTTACAAATTTAAAAAAACCTTACCTTAATTATGCTATTAATTCATTTGTCTCAGTTAATGAATGAACTGAAGACAACTAGTAAATGTTAATCAACACTAAAGATTGAACAAATAACGTGTTTTGGCAAACAATTTTAGTTTTAGCAGACAAGCTTTTATAGAATATGGAGGAATGAAATATCCTCATGTGATATGTCTCAAAACTTATTTTACAATCATTAGTTTACCATTATTTTTACATCGTTTGCACATAACTTTGCACATCGCATTTTGCTATGTGAGCAGATTAATAGTAAATTATAACTCTGAAAAAATCAATTTGTTCTTATTCAATTCAACGGAAAATTTGAAAAGTAAGCAAAGAAGAGTAATATTTTCAATATTTTTGACAATGAGATGTTTTATGAAGTATGAGTATAGAAAATACACTAAGCTAAATCAAAATTCTTCGACTACAATGATTTCTTACATTCCAATCATTACTCTTATTCATTTATCAGGAACAGAAAAGGATAGAAGTAATTCATCGATTTTTTCAAGAACTTTCAAAGTATTTATGCTCCCAAGTTTTTTTTTCTTTTCAAGTGTTGTAATGAGACATTATTCCGTTTTCGTTTATCACACTTCTGTGTTCCCAAAATTCCAATCATTTCAAACCATTAATTTGAATTTCAATCGAATAACAAATCTTATTTAGCTAATTTCTGGTCGGAACAATCAGGTAAATGAAACATATAAATCTTTGAACAATAAAACTTCCTTTATTTAAAGAATTCGCAGGATTGAAAAGATGGTGAATAACTCCATGAAATTACAATCGAAAATGCAACAAGGAATAAAGTATACGAATATGACTTATTGAAATCGTGAAGTTATATTAAAATTAATACCAATGCAAGAAGTTTTAAATAGAATTTTTCCTACATTTCTGCAAATTCTGAAATACAAAATTTATATTATAGTATATACACCTATTACAATTTCGACGACAGAATTGAGCACAACATATCCATCGAAAAGGCACTTTATCTGACACCTAAGCCTCTCTCTCTCTCTCTGCCTGTTCAGTTTCCCTTCACATTATATCTTGTCTGGTAGCAGACTGCAAGAGAAGATGAAAAATTTTTGAACTGCAAGTGATACAGTTGTGCACTACTCACGGTACGTACACACGGATCTCAAGAAAAGGCATCTTTATCACTGCCAAACAGAACATCCTGAAGAGTTTGTGGAGCTGAATGAGAAAAGATCAAACAGTAAGTACATTCGATGCTTCTTGATCTCACTGGTCAGATTTTTATTTGTCCAATTTACTGTTAGAGTCACATTGGATAAGAAGTATTCTATAGTAGAAGTAAGGAATGGAAAGAGAAAAGTTTTGATAGCTTAATAACAATGATCAATTTTTGAATTCTGATTCATTGGGAGCAATAATCATAATGAGAGGTTGATCAAATGAAGATTAATTACCTCGTCTTGCGCAGGAAGGGAATTAGAAAATTTCAAAAATGTCCTCGAATGCTAGATCAGAAGCCAAGAAAAATGGCCTATCGATTGGTTGGCAAATTTGCTGCACGTAATTTATCATTGACGGTATATGTGAAGTTCTAAGTGAAAATACCTTTATGTCTAACTATTATTAAATTATTTCGGTGCCTCATCTACGAGACCGAAATCATAACAGGTATTATTCAGGAAGTTGATTGCCGTAAAAAATATATGTTGACAGAGACAGATAATGGGAAATAATGCAGATTCTGGTTAGAAATAGAATAAAGAGAAGGAAGGGAAGAATAGAAGTGATAAAGATCGATAAGATCATCTATCAACTAGTTGGATTGGGTCAACGAGCATAAAAAACCTTTCCCTTTATGAATAGTTTGCAAAAATTCTATTTGGAATTAAACGGAATTCATGAATATCAGCATATCAAAGTGAAACATTAAATATTCAAATATTTCTGTTATCAAAAAAAAAAGCAGGAAAGTTCTTCATCACTTTTAAGAATAAAATTAGGAAAAGCTAATATCAGCTGTTTGGTGCTAATCGCGTTACTAAACTTTCCAATTTTTAAGAATTTCAACTGTGAAGTTACCGAAAAGCTTTTTTCTGTGGCTTCAAAAACTCAACAAAAACAAAGTATCGTAATACTTTCGTAAGTGTTGAAACAAATCTTAACTAGTCCAAAATGAATTATCGTCAAAAATCAAAGGAAACAAAAATGTATATCTGACAGAACATTAATGTAACTACATATGTGATGTAACACTTTATCAGTTCATTTTACAACATAGTAGACCTGAGTACATCAAAAAACAATTATTGAAGTATTGAAAAATGATTTATTAAAGATAAAGAACTAATATGAATAGTGATGGAGAATCAGATCCTACAGCTGAAGATTTCATTTTAGTGATTTTAATGAAATGCGGGCAGTGTGAGCTGATGGATTGCGCCAGTTAGGTACTACGAATGATATTTTCGTTTTGTGTGTCTTTACATGTCTGAATTCAATTTCTCTCTCAACTAACTGGAGAGGATTTTTTGATAAACTGGAAAATAACAGGCTGATCGACTAATTGAATGGATCAAGTGAATGAATCGAACTTGGTAATTTAAGTGATGATAATCTCTAGTATTTTTCCTTTTCTTTCATTTGACTAATAAAACAAATATAATGCACATTAAGAATAATCGGATATTTTAGCAACTAGGATACGATATTTTGTAATAGAATGATAATTTGTGCCGGTTTTTAAAAGCTCTTTTCAATATTCTTAGAAAAGGGGAAATTTTTAAACTCTTCTATGGATCAAATGTGTAAAGATAGTAATGTAATTATAGTGATAGTGCCGCCAGAAAAACGATCTACACGGTATTCCAACAAATATTGATTTCATAGCTGAAATTGAACTTATCCAAATCTTATAAATGTACAAGAATAACTTGGAAACAATTGCTGTTAAAAATCATGTATAATTTGTAATGCATAGTGACTGAAATTAAAAAAATATTATCATGAAGAAATCATACAGCACCATCATCAGTAATAATGTGCAAGAACCAAATGTTGATATTTTCAAGTTCTTTTTTATATATTTTAAAGTTCCGTTCGAAAATTCAACAAACAAATTCCTTGAAATCAACAAACCTTTTTAAGTAAGGAATGAATTAACTCCGCAGTTATGTTGGGTCAAGAGACAAAGGCAATTTTATTGTTAGATTCAGGCATAAAAAAATTTTTGGCGAAATCAAAATATGACAAAACGATTAAAAAATTAGAAGAAAAATTGCATATATCTGCTCATAAGAAGTTATTTGTTGTTGTAAACTTGAATGCTTTTAAATTGTGTTACAAGGACCGCATCGATCACCCCTCATTGAACTGCATAAGTATAATTTGGCCTAAAATTATGGAAAATTAGCAAATTCAAATGATCATTGGAAAAGTGCATTGCACATTGGCACCCATTTGTGTCAGAACTCATAAACATTGTTTTGAAACATTCAGTTATTTTCTGCTTTTTCACATGTGCAAAAATTGTAGGAATATTATTTTGCTAAATTAGTCCCAAAAATTCTCTTACAAAAATAAAATTTAACAATTTTTCAGCAAAGACAGAATTCTTCTGAAAGTATTTCGAGGTCGCTGAAATGCTGCGCAAAATTGATTTATCACTAAAAAATAAACTCATAATAATCAATCATTATTTTACCCAATCCAAAAATAGGTGATAAGGAGAAGAACGAAGCTACCGATAACTTCATTTGTTCCAGTTAAACTTTAATAATTATTACAACTTCATTGTCGTTTGAACATAGAGAAAAAAAAAAATACGGAGTTTTTGTGAAGCATTGCTTAAATTAAGCTTTTTTGTATCTTACCTCAGAAAGGGACTAGCTTCGTTCATTAAAGACAGCAACTGAAAGAAATACAAGTCAAATTTTTCTATTATTCTTAATTTGAAAAAAAAAAAAAAAAAAAAAAACACATACAAGTTAAATGAAAGTAATTAACACTGAAAACAAGAAAGAGGAGAAGAATTTGATTCATTAAAAAAGATTTATTTAAGCTTTTAAAAATTCAGAAAAAACCTATGTCCAGTTTACCTCTTTCTGTAAATTATACTGTATAACATTTCTCATTGCTCTTTTTTCTTTCCTTGTTATTTCATTTATCAACATAACCTCAAATAAAGATAAGAATAAAATGACAGAAGTTTTTAGATTTTTATCCAACTGATAGATTATTGGACACAAAAACTTGTTGCTGATTGACGATGCTGCCAACATCCCATTGAGAACTACATCGCTCAACAAACCATTTGAAAATTTAAAGGGTAAAATTTTACGACTACGAGAAAAATAAATATGTTTTCATTAAAAGATAAACTATGCTATCTAGCCCAGTGTGGAGAGTGAGAAAAATGAGATCCATTTAGGAGCACAGTACATTACTACAGGAGTAAATTGTTCCATAAATTCGTAATTTCTGTATTTTCTTTTAATATTTTCTCTCAATAAAAATTGAGAGGTCTCTCAAAAATCTCTCAAAATTGGCAACGTGTTTACTTCACTCGGTTTAATCTCTTGGAACATGTATCATTCAACAGTTAAATCGTATCGACGACTGCCAATTCACAATAAGTGTCAGGTAGATCACCTACAGTTCAAGTAATTCTAGTGGGGCAAATTTATTAAAAATTATAGTCATAAATAAGCAATCTTTCATCATAGTATCATAGCACCTATAAGAGAGTTCAAACCCTACGTTTAAATTAATAAAAGACGAAACCATTAGTAAAATTTGTACATGGGAGAGAAAAGTAACTAAATGAAGAGAGAAGAGGTTTCTATGTTACTTGTTTAAACGACACTATAAAGTTAGGCACGTTGGTAAATCAATAACAAATATGCTAATTAAGCTATCTGAACTAAACCTTAGAGAGTTGAGTATTTCCCCGGCAATCCACACCCATCCTACTCCGCTTGCCCGTTGTATATCCTTGCCCGGCCTCCTCTCTTCATCCTCCATTCATCTCTCTGCGTGCTGTATTTCCAGACTCGGCCATTACAATAATTAGGCTGGGGAAGTGCTACCTAAGGTTAAAGCTTTCTACCTGACCAGTATTCTAATGAGCAATGGTACTGGAAATATTCCAAAATACCACGTATATACATCTGCTTGACAAATGCCTCTGACAAGTTAGTAATGGTGCCTCACTGGATGTCCCTTCTGTTGTACTTCTTTCTCTTATGCCATTTCAATATAATCAAAACTTGTTATTTTTGTCTTTTGTCGATCGATTAGGCCGAAGCAGTTATGGTCAAATGTTTGTCATAATTGTTCTTGAAGTTCTATTTTTCTATATAAGTATATATATGTACATATATTGACTGATTACTAAACCATTATTTAATCTTTCTTTTTGGCAAAACTCAAACCAAACTTTAAGATTGTTCTGGGCCATTGAGGTAATTAAGATATTTCTAATAATATCATTACAGATGTTGGCGGAATACAGTAGAGAATTATCGCAGCAACGTGCTGGTGTTACGGAAAATTCCCAGCCGAGTTCTGGATCAGGTGGTAATAATGGGTTATGTAGAAATCTGGATGGTGCTGTTTACATGTCAGCATGTGCTACAAAAATGGATACTATAGTTTTCATGCATAAATGGAGTGTTGCACAGTTCTCGGCGCAACAAGAATTGTCATCACCTGGCGATTTCATCGAGTCAAAGTTAGTGTTAAGAGTATTATGTGTAGAGGGCTCAAAGCTGTTTCACATTTAAAGCTGTGGAAGTAAATAACTACTGTTGCTTTAACGCTTTATAGTCCAGAAAATTTTTGTCCTAGTGTGTTGATGCGCAGTATTAAATTTTTTACTTGTTTGAAACCATTTACCGCTGAAGGTCAATTATTGTGAAATCAAGAATTATTGACTTATAATTTCAAACCTATCACGCTGCACGCATAATTGATGAAATCTTTAATCTGTTTCTGGTTTTCTGATCCAAAAGGCACTTTCTTGTTTCCCATTCGAATTGCAATCAGATTTTTAGCTGAGAATTGAGTGTTCTAAAGTGTCGGAGTAAAATTTCATGTTTTTAATAATATGCGTATTATAATGTATTCAATAAATATTCTTTAGCATGTTTGGTTCTACAGACAGTGATTATCGATTTCGACTGAAACTATTTCCTTGCGGTAAAGATGAAGAATGTCGAGGATATCTTTCCTTATTTCTTCAAATTTTCAGTGAGTATATGAATTGCTTTCGATAAATTAGATTAAGTATTAATATTCTAAGTACAGAAAGTACCTTCATTTTCAGAGAAGTTTCAAAATAAATTTGCTTATTTGCCGATTGTAATATGATCTATCAACACCAAAATCTTCGATTATCGTGCTGTCGTCCTTAAGGAAATTTAAAAAATCTTAACAATTATACTTCAGAATGTCCATCTGCAAAACTGCGTTTTCGAGTAAATTTCTACATTGAAGCTGCGGATGGTCCGCGAGGATGTGCATTGAACAAAAGTGTTGTCACTATCAATCGTGGTGGGATTGTTACTGCATCAAAATTCTTTTCTACTGAAACTTTGAAGGTTTCTTTATGAAATATGGCAAGGCATTCCTTCATTTGCTTTGTAACGTTAGGTGATTTCTTAACAATCATGTCCTTAAGATTATCAACCAATAAAATGCAAAATTCTTGAATTTTGCGAAGATTTTCAGTTTTTCGTTTTTATAGAGTCGGGTTGCTAAATTTTTACCGGATGATATCTTAACTGTTGGTGTAGAGTTGACCGTGTACGGGGACTATAATTGTACTGATATTGAACCTGATCTGGATGTTTTTTGTGGGAGTAATGGTTCTCCAATATCTGGAATTGCTTTGGGCATTAGTGATGAAGTTAGAACACGCCTTGATCCTCATTTTATAGGTAAGTTTTGTGAGTTCATCATATTACAGAATAAAATTTATCGTCTTAATGTTAAATTGATGCTACCCACTTTACTTAAATAGTTCTTTTTAATATAAAATTGCACTTTATTATTATTACTTAGGATTCTTGGGATATGTAGATTTTTTTATAATTTAAAATGAATGAGTCAATAAATTTTCATGCTCAAAAAGCTATTAGTTATTCCTAGCTTTTGTTGCTTATTTCAGGACGTGATGTGGGACAATTGCTAGATAGTGGCGACTTTTCAGATTTCACTCTTCACGTAGGTCGGCGTTCCTTTAAATGTCATAAAGCAATTCTATCAGCACGATCACCTTTCTTCCAGGCCATGTTTAGAGATCAGAGTAATCAGGAAAGCGTGAGTGGAGAGGTGAGTTTACGTTGGCTTCTATTCAGTAACACTGTCTTTATTCGTTTAAAAAATGACTTAATTATTTAGGTAAATTTGGAAGATATAACTCCAGAAACGATGGCATGTGTACTGGAATACATTTACAAGGATAACTGTTCTGAATCATCAAAGCGAATGCTAGAGATCTTAGCCGCTGCAGACCGGTGACTTTTTTTCACTTTAATCGCAATTTTGTAATACAATTAAACAGATTTTTTTAGATTTTGCCTAGATCGTTTGAAAAGCTTGTGCCAAGAGATTTTGGTAAGAGATCTATCACCGAACAATTTTTGTGAACGTCTTCGAGCTGCAGACATGTATAATGCTTCTATCTTAAAGTGGAAAATTTTGAATTTACTGCAAAAACATCGCAACTACATCATTGATAATGAGGTACATTTTTCTTATAGTAGGAAAAGGAGGAAACACTATGGATCACATAATCGAGCTTGAAAATTTTATCCAAGCTTGTTTTCATATTTGTTTATTTGCTTGTTATTATTGAGCCAGCTTCCCACGTATATCTTCTGTTTACTTCTCAAGTTTCTATTTTGTAAATCTTTTCAAAACGTAAAATTGTGTCGTGTGTTTCTCTTATGCTTACAAGGATCATATTTAGGATTGGGTCGCGCTAGAAAATGAGTGTCCGTATTTGGCAGCAACGGTTGTAAGGCATATGTTATCTACTGACAGTGTCGGTAATCTATTATCGAGTTCCTCTACCAACATAAGTAATTCAAATCAGTATAACGAAGCAATATCAGTCAAAAAACCACGGCTCGGCTAATTTCAGTTGCTTACCAAATATTATTTTGAATTTGATTTGGGATAAGTTCCAAAATTTTCATTACTTTTCATTGCTCATTAGAAATAAGTACATTAAAATAAAAATCTCTGCAGTATTCATTATTACATATTTATAAATGGTACGACTGTGTTGCATTTAGGACAGTATGTAGTGAATCAGAATTAGCAGCTAACTTTGCTTTGTGCTTTTTTCTTTGTATTATTTAGCAGCGAATAGTATTTTCTCTATTGGATTTTGTTTTTATTTTCATAAGAGTATCTTCATAAAAGTGGGGAGACGAATTGATTTGGAAATAAAACTAAGGCAGTAAAAATAGTAATGTGCTAGCCTTTTTTAAGCTGTTAAGATGTTTTAGTTCTCAGAAAAGTTTGAATTGATGTAAAAAAAATTCTCCAGACACATAAATACTTGTATTCCTGTGTCTTGCTGATTTCTCATCAAATTTTCATTGGCATTTGGATTTCGTTATGTATGTATAAACATTTTAAACATTTTTGTATGTGCTTATTGTATGTGTTTATTTGCTTACAGTCTTTTGTTTTGGCAAAATTATGGATTGGTATGATAATTTAATCTGATATATCTGAAAGATATAGCTACATTTCGTAATTTTTTTTTTTTGAAACTATAAAAGAGTTTTTAGACTTTTTCGACATATTTATTTGACACGAACTTAATATGTTTCATCAAAAATTCAAATTTAAAACTTGGTTACCGTCCTCGTTAAAGATCAAATTGCATTTTGTTTTCTTTACATTCGCTGCTGTTCGAGTTCTCTACAGAGATGAAATCCTGCGGAGGAATAGTGGTTATTTGAATCCTAAATACATTTTGAGTAACTCTTTCTACATTTTGTTTGTTCTACATATTTTTTGTACTTTGAGTCCTTTCAGATTGCTCGCAAGGTCATGTGACATGGGTTTTAAGAGACATGTAGAGCGAGTGTACTGTACGCAAGAATTTTAAATCATACTTTTGCTTTATCTTCACAATTGTAAATAGTTGTGTATTCTGAAACGTTTTTAGTGAAAACTTTGTCCTTTTTTGCAAGGAAGTAACAACGAATTATATAAAAATAACATAAACCAAATATATACACGAAAAGTGGTTGAAGTGGACAGTGTATACTGTAAAGATTTCATAGTCAAGCAATATAATATTTTGTGATATCTCATCATGTAGCGTAAGTTCGGTAGTATAGGTTATTTACAGTCAAAAAGACTAACGGAAGTTCAGCATAAAGAAAGAGATAAATCAAACAAAAGACTGTTCAAAAATTGCGTTTACTTTACCATGATTTACTGATGTATTACCATACCGCTTACTACTACTACTGGTCATATTGTGATATACTTGGGTTTATACTCATGCAATGTGCACGGTATGGTTGCTGGAAATTGCTTTTGGGTTGGTCAAATACAAAAAATGAGCACTTGCCCAAAATTCATCGAAAAGTGTCGGTACGGTACTGTCAGAATAACATAAGTGAACAAAAAGTCATCTATGTAGTTCTACCAACTAAATCACTATTATCATTAACTTTCAAAGGCAATAAATGATATAATGAACATGTCGCGACTCTGTAATTCGGGTCACTTGTCAACATTCTTGCTATTGTCATTCACCCACCGAACCCGATGCATTCACAGCAGCCTCTGAAATTCAATACTTTAGAGAAAAAGAATATTTTCCGTTGCCTTTTAAAATGACTTCACCTTTTTATACAGTTTTCCATCAGAACACTGTCTACTTCATTTCATTTAGAAAATTCCTTCCTAGGCGCAACAATTTTCTTTTTTGACTAATTGCTTCTGAATATCTGCTTTCATTTGGTTATAGAATTCCTGCAATAATATCTCACTTCTGCATGTTTAGATGAGGACATGGCTATTATTCTGCTTTCTTGTGCTCATATCGCTAAGGGAGTGTTTCAGTATGAAACATGAATACGACATGGGTCAAAATAAGTATGGGCTTCTTTTGAAATTTTAAATCTTAAATTTCATGAACATCTCCTGGATTTGGCAAATGATGGAGATTCCATCATTTTCATGTTTAATAAAGCATCATTTCTGGGAAAAAGATGGAAGTAACATCTAACGCTTGATTGCGGAAGAGAAGTAAACTACTTCCATTAAATTGCATGTTCATGAATTTGAAATATGTTCATAAAACGACTTAAGGCTAGAAAATTTTAAGTCTCGTAAAATTTAAAGCTCTATTCTCTTTAAAAAATTAAAACATGTAGTGCGGGAAAAAGACGTAGGACAGCATTTGGCATCAGTTTTCCTACGCAAACTATATCAAAGGCAGCTAATGGGGCCAAACATAAAGACAGAGAACACTCGAACAAGAGCAAAGGAGTAAGTTTAAAAAGATATATTCATCACTGATTCATGTGTTTGTAAAAAGATAGTACTTAATAAATCCTATTCCTTTTTCAATTGAAAAAAGAATTCTGATATACAGATATAAATATTGATAGAAGTCAACAATAACGAACGATCAGGAAGTCAAATAATGTTAAAACAAAATTCCAGCTCTCCACTACTGAGAATATTGCATCGCGCAGTCAGCAACGTGATCTGATCATTGGCGCACCAGATCTGAGTGCGTAACCGGAGCTTTATTCGTAATATTTATGGTTCCAGATTTCCATCCTCAAGAAATAGTCGTAATACTGGGAATATTTTATCTTTATCTCAATTATGCGGGTCATTTGTGTAAATACTTGATAATCTTTCCAGGTGATGCATGCTTTCGAATCTATAACGAATGCATTATTATCAGTGCGCAACCGTACGAGCGGAAAATCAATATGCAATTAGAACAATGTAAGCAACGATGTATGCAATCACAAAATGGCATTTACAGTTGTCGATCATTAGTGTATGATTTTGCTAATAAGGTACTTTTTCAAGTTTCCGGAGAGGGTCCTAATTTTGCAAACATTTTGAGATTTCAAAAATATATTCTATACTTGAATTTGCACAATTAGAGTTATTAAGTTCGAGCCATAAAAACTTTTTTCCAAACGCTGATTACATTTCTACCAGTTAAAAAATTGCGAAATGGAACACTTCTGTCAGTTGCACTGGAAACGAGAATGCAGGAGGAGTTCGTGTGTTGCAAAAAAAAAAAAAAAAACAAAAAGTTTTCCCAAATTAATCTCCTTTTAGATTTGCGATTTCTTTTCTCATCAAGGTGATCAACCACCGGCAAAGTAAGTTTTCTCTTAAATATTCCTTACAATGGATTCACAGAGAATTAGCACATCCATTTTCTCAAATTTATTATTTACTTAAATGCTTGAAAATTCATCAATTCCTAGAAATGATTTCATATTCCAATTTTTTTTTTCTTTCTGCAGATTGCTCAAATACTACGAACATTCTTATTTGGAGCCAACTTTTGCTGATGGCTGTGATTTGGAATATGTAAAAAAATCGAAGAAAGCAACAATTCATTCTATAGGCTTGTCCTCATTCATAAATTTTAAAGGAAAAAACAATCTTAGGAAGTTTGCGGTAATCAAATTAACTGCGAGTGATTTTTACTTATCTTAAATTCATATTTCCAGACGGAAAATTAGGCAATACCATACTACTAAATGTTTCAACTAAAGAAGATACAAATCAAAAGACATGTAAAGAAGGCACAATTACTAAGTATCTGCGGACTCCAGGATTTAAGCTTGACAGTGTCAGTCAGATAGATCTGAAGGCTTATAATTTGGATGCATGTATCGATGCATGTACCAACAACATCGTTCGTTTATTTCAATTTTCTATTTACTATTTACAATATCTAGGAATGAGGTTTGCTCCAATTGAAATAGTTTCATGAATGAAGTTCGAACCATTATTTGAAAATAAAACTAGACTTCTTGTTGAAAGCCACCAAATTAACCAATTATTAAACTACTTAAATCCAAATTTTGTTCAGAAGAGAGGACAAAGAAAAGTTTTGCTTAAACAAAAGTCCTAATTCTAGAGTTTTCAAATCAAAATTTTAATTCTGAAATGGGTCATTCTCTGTCGATCATTAAAGTAAAATTTTTAGGATGATAAAGGACGCAGTTTCGGATGTCGTTCTTTTGTTTATGACGAAAACGGTTGTAGCTTATTTAGAGAAGTAGCGACGTCACGAGGTGTCAGACAGCTCAAACCAAATTTATATGCTAACTATTATGAGAAGATTTGTGTAGAGGATGATTTAATAAGGTTATAATTCTCACCACTTTCTTTTATATGTATCTTTTTGAGGCTCAAAAATAGCCTCCAATTTTCTAATTCCATTTAATTCCATACATATTTGCAGTAACGGATGTCAAAGCGCAAATCGTTTCCCACAAATGATACTGGTTGGATTTGCGGAAATAGTAGTTACAGCACGATCATTTATGAGATGCTTCGAGAATTGCTTGAAATCACGACAGTTGTTTGCAATGAACTGTACCAGTGCCTTATATTTTTATGAGGTAGAGTTTATCTATTTCTGAATTGAATTTTATTTACGTCTACTTATACATACTTTTATGTGTCTGTACAGTTCACAACGTGTAAATGATGTATAGATTAGATGAGGCGGAACGGTATAGTTAAATGAAATTTTTAAAAACTACGTTCAGGAATTGGAGCAAAACTGTATTCTAAACAGTGAGAATAGACAAACGCAAAAGAATCTCTTTGTCGAAGAGAACACAGATATTGTGGATTATTTCGAGATAAGTTGTCCACTAAGAAAACAAAAGAAAGTGGTCGATGATTTACTGTTCAAAAGTTGATTTGTGATAAATTATACATTCCGATGTTTGTTCTGGTTCTTGTTCAAAATTAAAAATCCTTTTGAATTTAGAACGAAACAAAGGCTTTGAAAAGTTGTAATTCATTGGAAAACGAATTAATTTGAAGTCCGTTGCATCATTTCACAAATTTCACGAAAACGCATGTTCAAAAATTACAAGGATTTGTTAGGAAAGCTGTATTTGTATAGACAAATGTATTGTGTAATGGAGTCTGTTTAATGAATTTTATCCATTAACAACTATGTTATTTAGTCTGGTATTAATCTGTGTTGATAATATACTGGTAATTTCATAGAAGTATTGTCGATGAGTATGGAATAAAGAGAAAAAAGTAAAAGGATGCGAATAATTTAAATGAAGAAAAATTGATGAGTGCGCAAGACCAATTAAACTGAAGCTTGCTGATACTGGATAACTGAAAGTGCATAATTACTGTGATTAAAAGGCGTCACTGCCAGATGATCTTTCTCTTAATATAATACGAGTTGGTTTCGATATCTTATCAGTTGTTCATAAGAGCGACTGTTAGATCATGGAAGACCTCTACAATATTTCAACATTGTAACGGAAAAGTTTCTTTTTTTAGAACAGAAAAGGTTAGTTGAACTAAGAACCGACAACTCTCCAACAATCGAATGTAAGTTTGGTTGTGAATTGAAGATCTTAACAGTAAAATTGGGAACAGTTTTAAACATATTAAGCAGTGCAGGTATTCTTTGCTAACAAGCTGCAACACTCCAAGCAATGCAGAGACACTCCTACAACAGGTAAGTTCACAGACAAGCTCACAACAACTGGAAGATGAGTGTTGAATAAATGATTGCATAATGGAATATAAAAGTGAAGTAGTTTTATATTTGTCCAAGAAACAATCCAGCATGACAATTTGTAGTCTAATGGATTTGTTATATTTCGAGACATTACGAGTTTCGATTAACCTTTTTATTTTTTGATTTAACGAACACTTGGAAGAAAATTAGAATAATGAACAATGAAATAATGGCTTCCATGAATACAAAAAAAGATGACTGAAGAATAGAATTTTTCCAAAATATAGAATACAATATTCAATGGAAGACGATGGCTACAACGGTAGTTTCAAAGCAGCGTGCGTCGTGATTTATAATCTTTATCACTATCGTTAGGATTTTCGAAATCAGTTTTTCCGAATTGTCCACTTTCTTCATCGCTCTTAAATTGTACGTCGTCTGTTTTGCTTTCGTTATCATCATTTCCTTTGGAACCATGTAACCGATGAGCAGCATTATGTCCACGTGCCGGACATGGACAGTACTAAAATCTAAGAATTTATAAAATATAAATGACCACACGACATGAGTAGCAAACTTAAGGATTGAAAAAGCTTTAAAATGAAAGTTGAAATAAACTTAGTGAGTTAAAAGAATTTAATTCATTTTTCTGGTTTTAAAACAAACCTCAGCATCTTTGCCAGGATTTCCAGATGGACCTTCTGGACCTTCGTCACCATCACTTCCTTGTGGCCCTTGAAAGCCAGGTTGTCCTGCGGGCCCCTCAGGACCTGGTTCCCCCGGTGATGCATCCTTGCCCTTATCGCCAGGTGGTCCTTCAGGGCCCTGGTCACCTGGTGGACCACGATTGCCTTTTCGTCCAACAACTTTTTCGGCATCAGCGCCCTTTTCTCCTGGTTCTCCGGGTTTACCATCCAATCCTATATACAAATCAAAACCAAGTATTATTGGAGAAATCAACATGTGGAATTTAAAATATAAGGAAAAATACCTGGCGGTCCTGGTGGACCAATATCTCCCGGTGGTCCTGGGTTTCCATCACGTCCCGGAAAACCTGGTGCACCTTTCGGTCCACGTTGACCTCGGATACCTGGCCGACCAAGAGGTCCTGGAGGACCAGGTGGACCTTCTGGACAGTTGAAACATCCAGATGGACTTTCTTGCTGAATATCATCTGCATCAATTCCATCTATACCATCTTTACCAGGAATCCCATTTTCGCCATCAACACCTTTTTCACCTTTCGGTCCCGGCGAACCCGGTGGACAAGTATTTTCCAAACTGCACACTGAAATTTTCGGAGCTCTATCACATGGTTTAATCAAGAAATATGATGACTTTATCAAATTTTCCGATTTCGTCGACGAAAATTTTATATTGAAGTAGTTAAAAATATAATTTAATTGGAATTAAATTTTGAAATTCTATCAAATTCCAAAATTTTTTTGATCAATAGTTTAAAGAAGTTTAATTTAAAATTTGACTCGAAATTTGAAACGAAGGCGAACAGATTTACAATTAAAAAGTAAACTAAAAGATGAAAATATAAAAACATACTGCACCACCCATTTTTTTGGAAACCTGGAGGTATGAAAGAACCGCTGACTGGACGAAACTGTTGCCTGGATTGACCGTTTGAGTCACTATAACGGGTTGGTGAGACAAAAATACCGGTACTAGGTGTTTTCCTATAAATGTAATCGCCAACATCCGCTGTTGGTTCACTACTTGGGGCGAAACCTTTTGGATGAATTTCGGCCTCAATGCTTCGTTCTTCATTATAATTCGTTTTGCTGGGGATCACTTAATGATTTTTTACAGAAATTTACAGTAATCACAATAATTAAATTTTTCAAAAGAAATTTTGGACTTGAAATCAAATTCATATATATTTAAAACAAATGTAATAGTCTCATCTTTCCTTCGAATATACTTGAAACTTTTCTAATCGCTTTTTCCAAATTTTAATAATGAACGTCTATCTCCTAAACATATTTTCCTTAGTATTTCTCATTCCGACTTTTTTATTTATTACTCATTGCAAATTTTCAATGGAAATAGAAGAGTCACCTTCTTGTGGGTTCATACTGTATGGATTGTTATATCGTTCATTGACTATGGCTGGTGGTACGTCACCATAATTTGTTCCTCCAGCACCGTATCCATAACCACCATCACTATTGCCACTGTCATAACTACTAGCACTCGCTGAGCTACCGTAATTGCTGCCACTGTTACCGCTCGATAAGCTATCGTATTTGCTGCTACTTCCATTAGAACTGTCATAAGCATTACCATCATTTTTTTTACCTTTATCATAAATATTGTAGCTAGTCTGACGACGTAGGCGATTTGACGGAGTGCCAGCGCCAAGGCCGATCATCTCTTTCCACAAATCATCCGTTTTAACCTAAATAAATAAATCTTTGTGTATTGCAGCGATTTTACGGCTCGACTTTCTGGTACCGAAATAGTTTTAGCAGCAATCCAGTAAATAAGTCTTGAACCTTGAAAGAAACAATTTCCGAATCTAATTCACTCCAAATGGACGTAACATCTTTGTGTATTGCAGCGATCGCTAATAAGCAAACGAGGAGTGTTGCACCGGAAAATATTATCGCTCCCAATGTTGCATTTTCCACAGACATTCTCCGTCGGTTCACTTATGAAAAGTTGAAATACCTTAATAGATTAATTCGAAATAAAGTACAGAGCAATATTTAACAACTTTTATCGGCTACAGTCATTATAATTGAATAATTCTTACTTTTACAATTACCGCTATGCCACACTACTATCACCAACACCATCACTTACATTGGTAATAGATACTGCATTGATTAATGATACCAATGAAGACAATGAATCAGATATCATCGTGAAAGATGCACTTCCCTCGTGCCAGTGACCAAATGCCCAAAAAAAGATAAAAGAAAATTAATAGGAAGGGATCAGGAGGAAATAGTTAATTTGGGTTAAATGAGACGTCTTACGGAAATAACGAATCCGCCCTCGTCACAAATCACTTTTTCCAACCATAAATACACAGAAAACGTTTGCAACTGCAGCAAAATTTTTTGTCGACATATTTATAAGCTCTCCGAAACTAGGTCTTTTGACTTTCAGAATTCAATACATAAATTGCGAGAGAATAGTATGACACTAAAATTTTTATTTGCTGTTCCATTATTTTAATTTAGACAATGAAATGAAATGTTTTATAGACCATTTACAACATCCATCATTTACAGCAACAGGGTGAGTGCTCCAAATCTTAAAAGCAAACACTACCATTTATTCCGCTAAATTATTTCAGAAACAAATTGAATCCTCCCTTTTTTGTTTGAAATTACTGTCATATTTTCAAACTGCTTTTCTGCCTAATTTAAAATTTAACAAAGCAAAGGGAAAAATCACCGATCTATGATCTATGAGTCACATAATCACAAATCCATCCTTTCAACTTTAATGTTATTTATCCTTAGTATCGTCGTTTCACGGCTCATCCCTGAAAAATTGGAAATGAGAGTTCATATACAAACTTGAGACTGTAGTAAAACGTTTATAATTAGTTTGAATTATCAAATTTAAGGAAGATTTTTGTGGGAGACTTCATAAGCAACAGTTATTTGTAAAATATATAAATTTTATGAAACCAGTTATGATAGGAAGAAACAAATACAATGCAAAGTTCGCGCTTTTGTATGGTTGTTCATCATATATCTGAGCTGTGGATAAGATGTTGTTTTTTCAACAACAGTGGCGTTAACTGTTACTATTGGTGAATGTATCAGTGGTCGACCAAATAGTGTAAAGTTTTTGCCACCAATTGCCAAAATCTAAAAATTCAAGTTCCTTATTAAAATTTCTGGAAATCTCTTTTTAGCAACAATTTACATACCAAAAATAGATTGGTTTTGTTAAGTAAATGTTATAAATGTGAAATGCATATAGTTAAGAAATAATTACAAGCAGTCTAAATATGCAGTGAAAACAATTCAGATTTTTTTCTGTCTCAATAAACCAAGACCAGTAATAAAAATTAACATATTTATAAGAAAAAGTTAACAAGAAAAAGATTAACAAGAAAAAGAAATACAAGTGTATCCATGAACAGAATAAAACATAATAGTGAAGAGAGCATCAATTTTCCTTTATATACTTTAAAAGTTGGATTTTTTATATTAAAAGTAACCTTTTCTAACTTAATCTTATCACCCACATCCAAGGGTACATTGTCATATAAAGCAATCAAATCATTCTCCGATACTTTGAACTGACGTTTATTAATATATACAACGGCAAAAAGACGGACGTCTCTTTGTTTCCATTCTTGTTTGATTGCACTCACGACCTTCGAAGAAACATTTCAGTTATTAATTCATTGTTGTTGACATTTGCAGCAACATTGAAAATTCCAAAAATGATAAAGGTTCAATTTTAAATGAACATTTATAAGTACACAAATAATTCACTTGCAACGCAGCAAAAAAGAAATGAAAAAAATTTTAATGAAACAACAAATTACCTCCTCAATTTTATGTGCATGAACAATTTCTGCTTTAATAGTCGTACTTGCCTGTCTCATAAGTAATTTGAAAGATCCAAGCAGAGTAACGACCATAACTAAAACTGTAAAAACCTATGTAGATCAGGATGACCTTTTATAGTAAGGTACTGTCTTCATATCATTAAAAAATCGTATTTACTATTATACTTAATACTATATAAGGAACATGAACACAGTTTAGTATTTACAACGCTGGAGATGAATCTCACAAAGGAGAAAAACAGAAATTTGAAGTGCAACATATCTTTAAAATCTAGTACATAATTTACTGTTTAGTAATTTAAGTGTAATCATATGATATGTACACATACCACTGAACAACAAACATAAGTAATCCAAAATTTTTATTAAAATTTTCGGAAAAAAACGAACAATTGCACCTTAGAAGAAAACAATAGCAAATGAAAAAATAAGTTACAGACTGTCTGAAACAACAGAACTATAGGCAATAAAGCTTTAATCTCAGCATTACTAAGATCAAGATTCTCCCGAATTTTGGAAACCTTAATCAGAATACACATTAAATATCAAAATCAGTCGAAATAATTCGCTTACTTCTAAAAACAAAAATTCGAAGAAATTTTCCTTAAACGACGAATCCCAAATTTCCAATTTCAAAAATGCCGAAACAAGGAACTAATAAATATCCAATCCATAGCAATACAGATATATTTAATCTTTTACAACCTGAGATACAATTTCAATGATAAAAACGGTATTTTTCATCGCGAAGATAGTAGTGAATATGAGTATTGCTCTTCTTAAAATTTTAAGACCGAAAAAAAGCTTTCATTTTTAAGCAAACATTTGGTTACCACGGAAGGGCTTCGTGCCTCTACAAAGATTTCAAAAAAAAAAAAAAAAAAAGAAACGGTATAAACTGTATACAGATATGGTTACCCTATTTCGGTTCCTGCTTCTTCGTGAAAACTGATCGACTAAGACCAGTGTCTTGTTCTAATAATTTATTGTAAAACAAGTTAAACGACTTCTTTTCCATATCGCTGAGCGATGACAGAAGACTCTCGCTGTCTGTGCCAATACCAAGTACTGTTAATTGTCTATCAAGCTCACGTTCATCGGCTGACTGATATTCCGAAGTGCATCTGTCTTTTACTTTCTCCAAGTAATTATCAACGTTATCAACATCATCATCATCTGAGTCCATTATATGATCAGAACTACCTGAAATATATATGATCAACTGGAAAAAAATGGCATGAAAGAGGAAACACTGGTGGGAAGAAACATATTATTTATTGGAATTCCAACAAAAAAGAGACATTTGTGTGTGAAAGACAAAAGCAATTTATCCAAACTAATTTTATAACCAACTTACCTTTCGATTTACATTTCCATAACTATATGATTGTTAAATGGCCCATATCCTCTTCAATATGCATATAATCTCACTTCTTTCCTTCATTCGTCAGAGGTGCTTATTACGTTACTTAGTCACATGCATCTAGTCCCATATATTATAATTTTTTTCAAATATGATTTCCGAGTAAATTTTCTATAAAGAAATCCTTCGTAAAAAAGGAAATCGAAATACCTGGGAATTCCATATTCATTCGAAAATCTCCAGGTTGTTCATTCATGAATTCTTCAAAAGTTTTCAAAGGCTTTCGTACATCACTCTGACAACGCAATTCCTGTTCGACACATTCACGATAAAACGATTCTGAACACTCCCGATGTTGCTCACTCCGATAACACTTAACACAGCAATACGGAAGAGCACATCTTGGACAAATATTTAAACTGTCCAATGAGCCACATGACAGGCATGAAACCTCTCCATTCTGCATTGTTAATTCTGTAAATTACATTAGAAAAGCCTTAGGAGATTTCGGTTCTTAAGACGTCGACATAATAACAACAGCTATAATTGATTTCTGAGAAAATTCTCTCTTTTCGATATGACTCTCAACGTTTATATAACTGAATGATTTAAACAACACTTCAAAGCAATATTATATTTAAAACATACTATGAATTTAGTGAAATTCAGAGCTTTAAATGGCATTTGCGTTACACTTCCTCAAAAAATCCGAAATAGCAATCGCCCCACCTAGCTTCACCCATTAACTTATTTAAGTTTCAAAGCAGAACATTACTTAGCTCTATAAACCATCATTTAGTCTGCACTTGTATTGGGACATAACAAAAGAAAAAAATTACACAAAGCAGTATAACTTTCAAGTCGCCATCGTGTACAAATTATAGGTTACAAGCTAATTTTCTTTCATAACAGTCAGAGACAAAGAATTATTTCCCTGAGTCGTCTATCAAAATAAAATCTAACTGAACACAGTAACTCCGACTCCAAATTCCTTCATGGAATCTCTGATGTTTTTTTCTCAGTCTTTTCGCAATCTTTTCTGATGTTCTTCTCAGCTTCATGGAATAACACACCACTTAACTTATGGCCATTCAAAAAAAGCTCGAGGTCTCAGATAATGGAAGGACGAGTCATTCGCATAAGGAATGTAAATGTGAACTAATTTACACGGTAAGCTGAGAAAAACAAACTCAGGAAAGATCAAAAATGATAAGCATATCACATGAACATATGAAAATCAAATGTCATTAACGAGATCATTGAAAAAATTCGATGATTTTGGCATTTTCTTCTGTGAAATATCACTGGACTGCAATACTGGTATCTAAAATTGAATAAAAATTCAGGAAAGGTTAAAAATTAATTTTAAAAAAGAATAAAAGTTTTCGAAAATTTTAAATAAAGGATTATGCCACAAGGAAGTGAAAAGTTACCAGAAAAAAAAGCAACTAATCTTATTTAATAGCTTCGGAAAACACCAAAATTTGATAGTTGATTCTAACCAACCCACACTTATAACGAATTCTCGGTCACAGGTAATCGAGAGCTGCTGTACACCTCCAATGTGTAAACCAATACTATCCAAATTCTTATTTGGGTTCAGATGAGTTATCCTAAAAAAAAATTGTATAATAAAAGCAAAGTAAAAATAAATGGTCATGAATGAAAAGCCGCAATATGAACCAAATTTTATGAGAAACAAAAATTGTGGAATTATGCTTCGCAGAAACTTCTGTGAGTTAAAGATTTAGATGCAAAAGAGAAATGTAACACTTAACCTTAGTTGATCATCTTCATTTGAACCAGTCAACAAAACACCAGGTCTAAGAAGCTGCACAGAGTCAACTCCAAACGGATGATCAGTTTTAATCCTTTCCAACAGATTACCATATTCTTTTGTCTTGAAAATCTCCAAGTAGCTGTCACCACTTCCAATATAACAATACCTAAAATTGATAAGTGCATTTTGTTGTTAAAACTACCGGATATAAATAGATTTTATATTTTTCTCCATTAAGTCTATCGAAGCCGGGTAGAACCACTAAGTCCAAGAGCTTAATTGTAAAATCTGGTAAGTAAAAGACAGATAAAAAAAGTGCAAGAATTGGAAATACAAACTTATGAGTGACAGTTAAACACAGAAGTTCACTATGCATTGGTTCCGATCTAACCATCAATTTTTGCTTCCGGAAATCGTATGCTCCAAGAGTTCCATCAGAGCTAACTGCTAATAACGCATTTCCAACAATGCCAAAATCATTTATAACATCTTCCTGTTCGTTGAAACAGCTAATTAATGGTTCCTTCGCCCGCAAATCCCATAACCTTATCTTAACAGGCAGAAAAAGAAAAGTTAGAATATCGTAAATATTTTAATAAAGACAACAAATTAACAAAAAAATCATATAGGCCTCAGAGGATGAAAAACAAGAAGAGGCGATATCATTAAAATATCCCCAACAGTGCATTATAAAAAACCATTTTTTAAAAGATGCAGTACAGGGCAAGTTGACAAATCGGTTTCCGCCTGTTTTTCATTCGTCTTCGCCTTTATTCAGCTTAAAAATGACACATATGAAATAATTTACTTCACCAAATTCATCGCCTGTCACAACTTGATATTTCACTGATGCATCTGATAGAACAAACAGAGCGTTAACCTTATGGTCATGACTTTTCTGAATACACCGTACCCTTAATAAGAAAACATGACAAGAACTTAGTTTCATTTTTCAAATGATTTATAAGCATGACTAATCATTTCATTTCACTCGATCTTTTAAAAATTCAAGTTGCTCTTTCTTTTCCTTCTGAGATTTCTCACACATAAAGAAAACATACAGAATGCATATTATCATCTTAAGACGGACGTGTTATTCGACAGTAAAGCGATGGAATCTGTGAACGCAACATTACGCCAGTTACGTAAACACATAGCTTAATCACATTTCACAAACCTTTTATTCGTCTCAACATCATATAAACATAGTGCTCGATTTTCACAAACTGCAAATAACTGTTCGCCATCACCGGAGAAGAGAAGTTCTCGTACAGCTCTTTTCAATTTTCTCGAAGCTAAAATCTAAAACTAATTTTGAAAAAAAAAAAAATCTTTAGAGATAATCTCTATAACCAAACGTCAAGTAATTATCGTCTGTTCATTTTTCATTTAATTTCCCTTGAATACAACTTTCGCAGCATGCAATTTCACATTTTATAGAAAAAAAATGCATACAATCCAAACCTCAATTTTCGTTTCCAATAAATCAAAGCTGCAGAATCTGATAGAGCCATCAATGAATCCAATTGCAAATCGATTACCTGATAAAGGATGAAGCGCAACACGTAAAGGTTTATTTGTCTCGAAGTTTTTCTCCATTTCTAATTCATTAAATATTAACAAGATGAAGTATTGAGGGAAAAGTAAAGTAAGAGAAATATAAAAGTGAAGTACATAATGCGGGATATTAATAAGTTGAATATACTGTTCAAAAACTAGAAAACAGCCGCGGATAGGACCAACCGACCAGTCCCCCACAAGGCACCTAACAAAAATAATAACAAAAATAAACCGCCACATATGCGCGAAAGGAAACGAACACGACCAAGTAAGACCTTTCTCCCTATGTATCGATGACATCTGTTGGTAAACGTCCATCAAGGGTCAAAAGGCTACAACATCAAATCATCAATCGGTGTTTGATTGCTGGGGAAGTTTTCGCCAACTTTTGGGTCTTATTTATTTGTTCTTTCTCTCTGATCGATTCATGGAAGTTGTTATTTAAAGCTTGAAGACGGCAGTTCCATTGTCTGGATTATCAGTTCTGTTGCTTAAGGTGTACTTGAAGACAATTTTTACACTCAATTTTTACATACAATGTTTGTATGATTCCTTTCCAGTTAAATAACTTTTCAGAACAACAGACCTACTGTAATACCAAAAGGGTGTGAAATGGAGTGCAGAAGCGATGCAGAAATTTGGAAGGAAAAGTTTGCTACCTTCCTATCAGAAGTAATAACTCTTTACTGTTATCCGTCGGTCTTGGTTTTCATTTTCGTTGTTTAATTTTAATTCTGAATAGTTAAGACGATATTGTTATTATTAGAGGCATAACTTTCTACTGTTTTCTATGAGCAGCAACAACGAGTAACCCAGAAGTAATATTCTGGATAAATCTTCTTAAGCCTGCCGACTGAATTACTTTGTGTTTCAGTGTGGAGGTCTAATTTAATCATTTATATGCATACAAAGCGAAGCGCAAAAATCGAGTTGCTTAATCTAAAGATAAAAGATAAAGGTAAAAGTGAACTAGTGCGAGAATATTTACAGGATTTGGCTGAGGAGTTAATGAAAATTAAAGCATTTTCTGTCGATAAAGCAGGCAAGCGTGTCATAGCCGAGCCTCTAAATTATGCACTTTCCGTAAGTAGTTAGATCACTTGTACCTTAGTGTCCCAACTTTAAGAAATTTCCTGAAGACCAATTATCTTTTTTACGCTATTGTGTCGTTTTTAGGGTTTCGTAGACTTGTTGTCCAACACAGTAAAAATCGGTCCGAAAAGATTAAGAGAGCTGGATTCTAGCTTCTTTCGACATAGAGATTTGTACATCTTGGTTTTAAAGAAAGTCATCTCTAAGATACCTGTAAGTTCGTTATTTACCTTCAATATTTCATATTTATTTTCAATAGTTAATCTTTATAATTTTCCAGGATTTACGTGAAGAAGTGCAGTTTTGGAACATGTATCATTTCTTGCAATTTCTTCCTCTTCCGTCCAAAAAACTGCATACTGCTTTTTACGAAACAAAAAGTAATATTTTCAAGTTGAGTCCTCTTGTTTTTCCCGAAATAAATTTGTGTTTCAAATCTTAATAGAATCCTAAATTTCAGCTAATATTATAAGTAGACACTGGAAGGTCAGAAAAGCGAAACGGTACTATCAAGAAGCATGGCTACTGTTAGTGAAACATAAGGTATAGGAAAGTTGTTATTTTATTCTTCTAAGAATTTAAACACTTTCAATTTTTCAGACATTCCTCTGCAAATATTGAATCAAATTCATAAAAATCTAAGGCCTGAGCGGAGAGAGAATATAAGCTAATTATTGATTTGTGGTGGATTTGATTTTTTTAAGCTTCCCAAACATTTGTTGAAAAAGTTGGTACCATATTTGAACGACCATGTACTCGATTCGTTCAGAGAGCCATTTCTTATTGGCGATTTTTTATTTCGTGTTTTTAAAATGGGCGAAGTTTTTGCGTTACTTTCCCTGGCTGGCATTTTCAAATTGATTGTCAAATATAACTTGTAAGTTCATGAAGTTTTTTTTTTTTTTTGATTTCTTACAAAATTTTTCATATGCGTTGATTACCTTAATTACTTTTTAGGACTTCATTATTTCTTTTTGGTCTTGCAAAATTCAAGAAAACTACACTAATTGCTAGTTTTTTCAAGTGAGAAAGTTTTTTTAATTTAGATTTTATGTTTAAATTTCAGTAATTTTCAGCGAATTCCCAAATTTTTACCAATGTGCTTACGAGTTAATAACACCATCTATATGTTACCTGACTTATCGAGAAAAGTTTTTCACACTTCTAGATACTTTTCTCTCATCGTCGTAAGTTATTTAATTTTTCTTGTCATTTCCACTATCTGATTGTCATTATTGTTTATTACTCTTTTTTCTATTAGGTTGCCATTACTAATATTTGAAAATGTTTTTATGCTTATACGAATTTCCAGACACCTTCCTATATACATTGTCGCTGCGTTTGTGAAGCGTTTGTCTTGGCTAACTCTTTTAGCTCCTATTTCATGTCAGGAACCTCTGTTTGCTTTAATAGGAAATTTGATAACACGACACAAGGATGTGGAATTTCTGATGCATAGAGATAATCCAGGTACCTGATGTTTTTATTTATTGCTTCTGCGTAAGCATATGAGCAATATTTAGTCGTTTCCATGCATATATATATATATATATATTTTTTTTTAGGAATCTTTAGATACCTATAATCATCCGATTTCCAATTTTAATAGTATCCAAAGATTCATTTTTTTTTTTTTTTTTTTACAGAAACATTTTCTGATGATCCTTATAATGAAAAACAAATGGATTTACAAAAATGTGGAGCTTTCGAAAGTTCACTATGGGAAATCAAGGTTTTGATACATCTTGATGCACCTTAATCTTTATATCAAATATCGAGAAACCATGTAGAATGGAGTTGATATGTTACACTTTTTGACTTTATGAATTTTGCCCACTAAAATTTGTTTATTCATTCATTTTTGCAGGTGTTGCAGCGACATTGGTTTATAGATATAGCGAAAAGAGCAAATTTTGTTAACAGAGGGATGCAGAGGATGGAGTCATTTGTGCGCTGGAAGAACGACGAACAGTATTTCACAGAATTATTGTCTAGAAGATTTGGAAGTGAACCACTGAAAAATAAGGAGAAGGGAAAATTCCGAAGAAACCAGGTTATCGTTTTAAAAGATTGATTTAAAAGGAAATATTAAAGGTTAGCTGAAAATGTTATACTTCTAGTCACATTTCAGAGAACTTGTCTTTGTTTTTTTTTTATCTGTAAGCAATGAGTAATTCAATTAAGTACGCAAATCATAGTAAATAATTCGTTTTTAAACTGTTGAAGTGTGCTGTGAAATTGACAATATTTTTCGTGATGTGATAATTGAAAATATTTAGGATTCAGAATCTTCAGATGACAGCTCTCAGAAAAATGATGATCATCCAGTTAAAAAACGACCGAAACTATTTAGGAATACAAAAAGTTATAACTGTATGATTGCAATTAATGACAGAGAACCACCGATTCATCTTTTTAGTAGTGATTTCAAGATACAGAATTCTGTTTAATTCCTCATATCATGGGCCATCCATCAAGAAAGACCTACAGTATCATTTCCTTTCATATTTCATTACAAGTTCAAGTTATTGGTAGCCAGCACAACTCAATAGAGTTGCTGCAAGTGAATCTTTTGACTTTCTTGTTTCTTGTTGTTACTTTTGACTTATTTTTTCAATAAATTTGATTGTTTCTTCTGTTTTTTTTTTCTTGTCGCTTTTTCGTTTTCATTTATACGGGAATGATGAATATCGAAGTTTTGAACTGTAGCCATTTTTCATGAACAAAAAAATTGCAGATATGCCATCGTTTTTCAGCATGTGTAGAAGTGTCTTTCTGGAAATAGAAAGTCGGAGTAACTTTCCTAATGATATCTTACATTGTTTTGAATTGTTTTGATTTACGAATGCTGAATAGTGAAAAGTGAATAATCTCAGTTCATACTTTCACTGATATCGAACTTTTGATTTGAACTAATGGAGTCAGTTTGTGATTGATTCGGCGCGTGAACTTAATTTATTCTCGATAATAAATATTAAGTTGTCGATCGTATACCGCCTGTAAGGTTAGTTCATTTTTTTTTAAATGGGATTGGTTTATTTCAGGTATTCATATATATATATATATATATCATCAGCTACTTCATGTCATCAGCGCAGTTGGTTCGGGTTCTTTCTTTGTTTGGAAGAAATCCACTGCGTCGCAGTGTGCTGGGCTTTTCCCAGAATGCTTCGGAGATTCCAGCAACCTCGGAAGAACTAGCTTTATGGAAGGTCGACAAGAATAATCCCTTCCTCGAAATTCCTCAAGCATGGGTCACAACGTTGGCAAGGAAAGAGGTCCAATTTTAAAGTCATAATTTTGAATATTAACTTTAAGTCAAAATGGGACTGCTTTAGTCTGAAATTTGTTTTGAATGAGTTGAAGCGAGCCATTTTTAATTACAATTGTATGATATATCAGTTTTCTGGACCTTATGATTTTTAGGAATCTCGGATGGATTTAATCAGTTTACATCCAGATATATTCCGAACCATGCCAAGAATTGATTTGCTGCACCGTAATATTACTTGGCAAGAGAATTACCGAAATTTAGCAATCACGAAGCAACTATCTAAGAAAGAAATGCCAGGTGGTGGTCATAAGCCATGGCCGCAGAAGAAAACCGGTCGACACCATGCCGGTTCGATCAGATCTCCCCATTTTCGTTTGGGCGGGTTCGTCCTTGGGATCTGTTTAAATAGAAATTTTTAATCAATATACTTATAAATCTTCAGAAATATGTACTGTGTCGATATTTCAATTAACAGGGTCTTTAACATCCTCCTGAGGAACTTCTTTTAGTTTTGCAAATGGAATACGTGGGCCTAAGACATGGTTTTATGTTCTGCCAGATGCGATCAGATTGGAAGGCTTGTGCATAGCAGTAACGATTAAACATGCGCAAAATGACTTGGTAATTGTTGACAATTTCGCTAGCTTGCCGAACGCTGATGCCCAATTTATGCACGACCTCGCTGATTCCAGAAATTGGGGTTATTCAATATTATTTATCAACGACAGTTCCGAAGTAAACAAATTCTCTTTTAAATTTTAAATTCTTTAGCTGGCATACTACCATTTTATTCTAACTTTTCTTTCTGTGGCTTCTCATTTATGGTATATTCAATTTATATTTCTTAATTAAAGGAAGAGAGCAACATTGTTTGCCGTAGAATTAAAATTGTCTGAAGTAAAACAAAACCAAAAATACTGCAATAATACAGACTAGCTAGTAGTACGAAATTATATAATAGACATGGTATTCTATTATTTCTTCACAGTGCGATAAACTGAAATGCTATTGATATTCAGGTACCTGAGAATATGGCAAAGGTATGCGATGAAATACCAACATTTAACGTTATGCCAGTCTATGGAATAAACTGTTTTAGTTTAGTGAAACACGATACTGTGATATTTTCTCTAGCAGCTCTTCAGCTGTTTCAATCGCGTATACTTTTTCACAAGAATCGCGCACAGACATTGCAGAGAAAATATCGTTATGTGGATTACAAAAAGATTATCATGAACGAAGCGGGAAAACTTGACCCAATTCACGTGCCATTTATTTGACAAATTTTGAAACTCCAATTTAACTAGGACTCATCCCCAAAATTTATTAAAATGTACTTAGAAGTTTTTGCTGCTCGATAAAAAACTAGTAACATACACTGTATGATGATTTGTTGAAGTTTTTACTAGTTCCCCCCCCCCCCCCCCCCCAATCACAGCACTGATCTTCAGCTTTCTTTAAATTTCATTTGAAAAGATGGAAGTCGTTATATGATCTGTGAGTAAATATGAATGTATTATAAAACTGAAAAAGAAGAATCCTTTTGAAGTTCTTTTGATGTAACATAATTACAATCCCTATTTTCTATCTCAGGGTAAAGAGATTTTCACAGACCAAATCTATTTTAGTGTTATGTGCCCAAAGCAAATTTCTCAAGCATACGCATTTGTACATTTAATCAAAAAGAACGAACGAACCTCACGATTTTGGAGAGCAACAAATTCAACCTTGAAATGCTTAGAAAAATAATTTTCTAATAAAGCTATCGATATGGAAGTAATCCTACTACAACATACCAGAACAGATTTCTTGATTAATCCGTTTCAAAGCTGTGTATATGTGAGTGGATTGTATTATAGAAATTAAATATGAATGCAGGCATATGATTATTGTATGAACAAAGGAGAACAATATCAAGTATCACAATGGTTATTTTATTTATCAGCTCCTGGGAAATTTCGAAGTCATCGAAGAAATATTGACAGAGATATTTAGATCAAATTAAATTAACTATCCATCTTCTGAATCAAGTGCTACTTTCTTTTAACTTAACAATATCATCTCCACTTATAAGGAATCGAAGCTCAATCATATCATCGCATTTTCACTTTTCTCCTTTAATACGACTGTTAAAATTCGCTTGGAAAATGTATGATAGGAGATTTTATATCTGATTAAGTTGGAATTCGGGGAAATTTGTTTGTTCTAGCCCTTGAGGGATACATCTTCCAATATTTCTTCGCGGGTTCTTTCAGCTCAGCTGAAAGCATAATACATTTAACCTTAAAACTGAAAGCACATATTCAAAATCAGAAACAATAAAAGAAGCCTCCCGTTCTATTTCTTGAAGCCCTTTAAGATCGGATAAATTTGATTGAATGCATCGTCGATATCTTTTTTATACTTAGCGCCCGTTATAACAACCTGGAAGAAGCAAGGAATTTTACAATTAAGTGAAATAATATGTTTTAAAAGAATGATAAACTTCTTGTTGCGCAGTAATCGTTTTAATGGCGAAATAATATGGTTTTACTAAAACCGATTATCAATAAAGTATAAAGATGATGATGAAACCTTTTTTCCTGGTTCATATTTTCAGTAAATAAATTTGACTTTTTGCATTAAACAAATCTTATACTTACCTTTCCACTAACAAAAATAAGCAATACTACTCGTGGTTTCACCATCCGATAAATTAATCCGGGAAAGAGCTCTGGCTCATATGTAGAGAATTGAGTGTGTGTTAAACATAGGCCTTCTAGCTGTATAGGAAAACGCACATCACATGAACCAACCATATTCTGAACCTGAAACAAGTATAAAGATGGTCAGTACCTTTCAATGCTTTATAAGTTAAATTATAGAATCAGGTGCCGTTAATAGGAACCATAGATGTTTCACATTACTTCATATCTGAAAATCCATTTTATCTACTTTATTGAACTTGTTTCACGCTTCATTTATCATGGTTAACTAACTTTGAATTCAGTAAATTTTGCGTTGAAACCAAGCTTTTGTACTATCCTGGCATATTTGCGTGCGGCAAGTCTGAAATTAATAAAGCGAGTAGTGATATATGAAGCAGTATTGCTTCAATTCAGCAAGAAAAACATACTATATTGCAATGAGACAAAGTAATGTTTTGCAGTTACCACATACCTGCTTGATTCCTCAGATTTTGCTCCTGTACAAACCATTTTTCCTGATGAAAATATAAGAGCAGTTGTGCGAGGTTCACGAATACGCATTATAACAGCAGCAAAACGTTTTGGATTATATTCCGCATTTCTAGCGTGCAATGCTATTTTTTTCAAATCCAGAGGCACACCTGTAATCGAAATTTTCGAAAACTTGGAAATCTTTCCTAACTTTAGACTCTCACCTAAGTTAACAGTAGACACTATATTTTGAAGCGCTGGCGATGGGATATCAATTAACTGTGATCCAGGTGTTTGTGGTGGATTTGTTGAAACCATAGGAATATTTGATGCTGGTTGAAAATGATCACCAGCAAGGGGCGTCATCGGTACTGCAAGATTTCCAGGACCTACCGAAGCCGGATTCATGTCCTGAAAAACGGCCGGTGATGAAAATTTTCTTACATTTGCTATGTTCATTTTTTTCAATAAAGATCTACCTGAAAAACTGATCCAGGATTTCCACCAACATTTATAACACTCGAAGGTCCACCTCGTTCACCGCTGTAGCTCAGCAATGATCCTGGACCACCTTGGCTATTCAGTACTGATCCTGGAATAAATTTGATGCGGAACACTTGCAAAACGATAATAAGTAAAGTAGTAATTTCAGCAGCTTAAGCATAAAACTGGATTTGAAAATTTCACCAATAATGGAGCGATTTCATTTTTAGAAAAAAAAAATATATATATACATATATATTATATGAACAACTAATCTGGTCCGCTATGTTGCCCCAACATGCTGCCGCCAAGCACAGAGCTTGGACCAATATTTGCAAGCACTGAACTAGGTCCGGAACAGCCAACATTACTGAGATTAGCTGTTGAACCACCTCCTATCACTACTGATCCTGGTCCGAGCGTTACCGATGGACCACTCATAATATTGGAAGAGCCTAAGATAGAACTAGGCCCTGATCCAGTGAGTATTGATGCTGGACCAACATGAGTGCTTGGTGTTTGACTACCAAGCGATGTTATCACCGATGCGGACTGCGATGGACTTCCAAAATGATCCATCAACCGTTGTTTTATTTACTTTCCTTATTATGCTTTATTCACTTTTCTTGTTACACCTAAAAAAGTACAGAAATTTGCTTTTCTTTTATCATAATCTTCAGTTTTCATTTCGTATAAATTTAAACAACGAATTCAAACTGAGAAAAACATTAAACAGAAGAGAAACTGCCAAGGATATAAGACATATTTTAAAGAAAGCTATGTCTCAACATACACAATAACAAAGATCTGTGTATAACAACAAAAATAAGACATGCATACACACTCATATAAGACGAAATTTCTTTTTGGTACTTTGTGAAGCAGAAAAAAGTAATAAGATATTAGTAGTAGAACTTCTCGTATCACAACAACTGAGATATCATGATAAGCTAATAAACAAGTCAATATCATGTAACGAAATTTACAAATTCCAGACCTATCAACAGCTCCTTTCCTCAAGCGTTCAAAACTACTCCCCTTATCACAGACAACGCCCGTGTGGCTAATTGACTCAAAACCTCTTCCCTCTATTTTCGTTTCGAAACTCGGACGTGCTGAGCAGATAGAATCCGCCGTACCAGGTGTTACGTGAGAAAGTTCAGGATCAAAGTCTGCTGTTTGCGGAAAATGGATGTATGTAAAGCTATGAATGTACTGGCTGATTTGAAAAGTTTAACCCAGTTAAGACGTGAATTGGAACGTCTTCCAAATACTTTATTGTTACCGGTTGCTAGAAAATGCTTGGATCATTTCACGTTAGCCAACTATGCTGGATTTATCGGTAATATCCTTTCGATGTCTATTTCTTGCTGCTTTAATTAATTGGGTTAATTGATTGTTGAAATATAAATGATTAAGCTGTTTGGGTGAAAGTTCCGTTGAGTCTATTCCAAATCGATGCTAGTTGTGATTTGAACTTTTATGATTTTACGCCGTATTTGCAGTTCGCTATCAATCACAGTACCATTGAGCTTATTCACATTAATGTACTGAACACATTTGTGAGAACTGTTGAAAACAAGAAACAGGTCTTACTTCTGTATCCCAACAAAATCACCATAAAATAAAAACTCTATGAGTGCCGTAGAAATAACCTTACTAAAATAATATATGCGATAATAGGTTCGTTATAGATCGTAGTAAAAATTACTTGCTGAAGTAATTTTTACCACCAATTTATGTGGTTGTATAAATATTTTCTATTTCCCAAATGCACTTTAATTTAGTAGAACCGAAATTTAATTCGCATTTAGTTTCAATGTGTTTAGAGAAGCCAGTTTGTGGTGATTATGTGATGGAAGAGGAAATTGACAAAGATTTATCGTTTGGTTGCAATTCTCCATATAAATTTATTCGGTATAATTGCATCTTGTAATTGAGACTCTGTAACTGAGTATTGGAAATGCTTCACCATTAATTGTTTTAGTCTCTTTTATTCTGTGGATTGAAATACAAACACCTTTTTACTAATTTTTTCTACACCGAAGTACTGAAATATTAGGAAAACAAAACTTGTACTAATTCTTATTGTTTGTAGTTTAAAATTATGCTTATGGTTGGCGAAAACCATATTAATCGACTGTTGTTCTCGACTGCAAGATGGTTTTGAGAAAAGCCATCTTACATGTCGTTTGGTATTGTTGTGGCAGAATCTACTGAAAGAGCCGGCTGTTGAACTGGAAAAGATTCTGAATACTTTGGTAAAAAAAATTTTTTATATTACCGTTTTCATTAGCTAAATTGTGGGTCGTCCGATTTTTTTAAGGATAAAAAATTTTGATTCTCATAAATTCTAAATTTCAGGAGATTGCATCGTTCTTTTGTAATTGTAGGTGAATTGTGATATTTAGGGACATATCCGAGTTGACTGTGCTTCCGTAGCAGCAGTTACTGAAGCATTTCTTGAAAAGATGTATGCTCATCTGCTATACAATCAAATTAGTAGAGCTGAAATTTGTTTAAATAGTGCCTTAGCCGCCAATGGCCTTAAAATCGAAACGGTCGGAGTGTTGGGTAAACGTACTAGATTTCAAGAAGAATTTATACCTCAACTTATTGTCAGGGTGAGTTCTGTCTTTTCAAGTTTCGAATCTTTTTTTATTTTATTTTATTTTTCTCTTTGTTTTAACTGGGATTAAAACTGGTGAAAAATGTAGAGATTAAAGTGGCTTGCTAACTTTCAGATTTAGATAATTCAAATGAACATTACACTCAATTTATTTGTGACCAAATCTTAACGACTTGATTTTCTGATCAGAATTTTGTGTTGTCTTATGAAAATATAGCCAAATATCCAAGAAGAAGATCAGTTTTAATTTTTTCTATTTAAGGAAAATGCTTGCTTTTTTACTCTCTGTACTAACTGCCGTTTTCCAGAAAAACTGACTGATCAGTGAATTAATGAGATTACTTGTTTTAATTTTTATTTTTGTTGAAATGTGGAATATTTTTCTTCCAATTTTTTTTTTTTTTTTTGATTTCTTTGTGATTAAGGCTGTAGGTGGTGATTACCTTGAGGATGATGACACACGAGAAAATGACAGTACTCTGCCGCCGAATGTTTTGCTTCACGATGACTCGTTGTTAGAAAATGTACGCGTTGCCGAAATGGATCTTTCAACCAGTCGTGCCAAGCTTTCTGCTCTAACTTTAGCGTGCATGCTGGCTTCTGGTGTGCTTGAAAGAAAAATTCAAAGTACTGGAGACTTAGTAGCTGAAAAATGTTGCTCCCTTCTCGATGAGGTATTTTATTTTTTACTTTGTTTTTCGATTCTCTTATTTTAAAAAGTTAAAATATCCCTTATGCTCGTGAGCTCGTTTGCTAAGGAATTCAAAAATAACGACAGGATTAAAACTGATTCAAATGTTAGTTTCTTACTTATCTAATTTTTCTAATTTCTCTTTATATGATTTTTTTGGTTGGGCTGCTTCTTGCAGATAATTAGCCAGCGTAGGAATTGGGCAGTGCAGGCTAGTGCATTATTGCAACGTTCTGAATTTGACAAGATTAGCATGCGCCGAGTGGAACGTGCATGTCTGCAGATGGAGTCATTATCAAAATTGGTGAACAATGTAGAAAATAATGAGGTTGCTAAATTTTAGATTTGAATAATTTAAATATGGATATTACATCCAATTTGGGGTGCAAATCAAATCTGAATTTTTATTCAGAATTTTACGTTTCCTTAGAAAAATGTAATCGAAGCAAGATTATTTAAAAATAGCGCTTGTTGCTTCATTTTAAATACGATTCCATAGCGCTCTTTATTTCTTATAGGTGGATGAGAGTACTTTAAGGAAACGCTTGAAATTATTACTGGCAAGCGGGATGAAACCATTTTGGTATGTTGATCTCGTTCATGCTGAAATCCTTCGCTCTATCGGATGCACAGCGGTTTGTCTTTTCATGTTTTCCAATGAAATATTTAAATTATTTTTTGCACGGCTAGTTTCGTTTTTAGCTTTTAAAATGTGAATAAGATCAATCTTTATGTCATATTACTGTAATATCATATCAGTACGAGTGAGTAATGAAAAATAATGTATTTTCTGTATATTTTTTATCCAGAGGTATGAGGTAATGGTTGACTGGTAGTTGTGGTTTAAAACAGTGACAGGTTGACCAAATGTGATTTTTTTGGAATGTCAGATTTTCTTAATAGTTAAAACCTTTTTTTAGTAGTATTCTTTCCATATAGATTTGCAGGAAGCCTTGGTAATATTCGAAAGACAGGAAAGTTGGGATAATGTTATTGATTGTTATCAGTCACTTGGTCAATTAGAAAAAGCTGAACGATTAGTTCGTGATCTGCTTGCTAAGAATGAGAATGAATCAATTTACTGGTGTCTTTTGGGTGATATACTTCGTGAGCCAACTGCATATGAGAAAGCGATTGAGGTAATAAATTCATTACTATTTCTCTTCAAATTTAGAATTCGGATTTGGTTGCTTAAGAAGAATTTTCTACAAGAGTTTGAAAAAAAAAAAGTTTTTTTACAGGAGATTGAATATTCTTTCAAAGATTTGTCGTTTTTCTTGTAAAACTGTAAACACTATCACTGAATTGGAAGAGCAATTTTGATATTATCATAGTTTAAAATTAAGGCTTCGAATGGGCGTTCATTTCGGGCTCACCGATCTTTAGGATTGCTGATGCTTCACCGCAAGAATTATTGTATTTCATACCGACATTTGAAACGTAGCCTTGAACTTCAGCCAATCAGCGTATGTTTAGTTTCCCTGTTTAACTTGAGTAGCTTGCAAAAAATCTTATCAAATAATCTCAACTGATGGGTCGCATTGTGAGAGTATTTACTCCTACTCATTAATACTATTATTAACAGAAACATTTAGACCGGTTCTTTATATTATTGCATTTTAATGTCAACTTGTTTCATATTTTATTCAAGTCGTTCGGCTGGTTCAATTTTGGTTGTTGTGCGTGGAAGCTCGAAAAATGGGAAGAAGCGGCGAAAGCCTATCGGGAATGTGTACGTTATGAACCTGCACATTTCCAAGCATGGAATAATCTTGCTGCTGTATATGAAAAACTAAACGATTCAGAACGAGCCAAAAGTGTTTTATGGGTCTCTTTTTAAATTTTCTATATACTCAATTTTTTTTTTTATTTTTTAAGTACTAGTAAATTGTATGCTCGACTAACCATTTCATAATTTCTTCTGCTTAATTTAGAAGCCGCATTCTTAATATTATGTCAGTTTCGAAAATTCACCATTAATCTCAAGCAGGATTTATGAGGACGATCTTATCTGATTTAGTCAGCACTATTACATCTATACTGATTAACATGCACTAATTTGTTTCTGTGCAATAACTTTTTTTAACAAAAATATCTCTTAAATTGAGTATTTCTAAATAGAGCTGACTTTGGATAATGAAATTCATTTCGACTATTTTGAATGATCAGAAAAGATTTTTGTCGTGATATATTTTCGTTAACTTCTAGAATCGTATCATTATTATTTTTGTTTTAGGAAGCTCTGAAATTGAATTTCGAACATACCAAGTTGCGAGAAAATTATATGCTTCTCTGCGTGCGTACGAATGATCTTCTATCAGCAATTACGACATTTCACGCGATATTAGATTTGGACCGACAATACAAAGACGATGCCGTAATTGAAGCGCTCACACAGAAATTAATCACTCTAAGAGAAGTAAAAACTTATCACTCTCTTCTTTATTATACAATAAAACACTTCGTTTACGGAAATTTGGAACTTTATTGCTTGAGTAGGAATTTGTAACTTGAAATCTAATAAGAATTTCCAAATAAATGCGGTGGCAGAAAAAATCCAATAAAACGAAAGAAAAGTAAATAACCAACAAGAAGGAGAATTATTACACTCAGTAATTTATGTCTCTATAATTATTTGATTCATTCAAGAATTCAATGTTGTTGTTTTTTTTTATTTTCTCTTATTCTTAGAAGTATTTTTACATATTAAGGCATATTAAGTTCATGATGAAAAGATACTAAAAAGGATGTCACTAATTTTCGTTTTTGATTAGTATCAAAGTACTTACTTGAAGGTGAACGAAGAGTATGTGAAACGCTTAATTAATAAGATGTGTGAATTACTGGGTAGAATAACTTCACAACAAAGTTGCTCTTCTACGGTTTGTTGTTTTTGTTTACCTTAATTCAACAATTTTTTTTATGAATTTGGTGGCATTTCTCGATGGCATTGCTTTTAATTTTTGATAGCAAAATTGAACGCTTTTTTGTATTTTAGATCTGGCATTGTTATGCAGAGCTAAAACGGCCTAATTCAGAGTCATCCATGAAAGATTATGATTTTTACGTAAAGTTGTTAGAGCGAGCTTTTGGGGCTTGTTATAATAAACAAGTAAATTTCCTACATCATTTCTTCCTACATCAAAATTCAACCTTTCTAAGTCTACAAATTTTAGTTGAAATCCGAAATTCTCCACTTTTTGAAACCAGTCACTAAGTTTTTAGATCCAAGTGCAAAAACTAGTACATTGAGCTTTTTTTTAAAGGATTGGTATAGAAATGTTGATTCATGTGTTGCTGTTTTGAATGCAGCCATGAAGTTGGAAGATTCCAAGAAAGTTTTGTCGGGAATGAAAAGTGTTGAGAACGATCTGGTAAGTGTTTTAATTCGGGAGGTTTATGTTGTTTCAGTTGCAGGTATTTATCGGCTGGTAATGCTACTCACGATAAACTGGTTCGAGCACGGTAAATGTTAATTAGTCAAACCCGTGTTTCTGGAAAATGTGTACTGAATTAGATATCTGCACTGCATCTAGAATGATAAAATGCACTACTTAATATAAATTGCATTTAATCATAGTCTTTAAATTGGTTTTCTCATGTAAATTGGCCATTCTAAATTTCAATATATTTTAGGTTAAATCTGAAATTCGAATAACTCTTCGGCCACTTATAGCATCCATAGAGAAAATATATGGCGTAGATGCTATGGAAGCCTCTGATTCGTCCTTAAAAGAGTCATTACTAAAAGTGAAGTCATTTTTATCCTCTTGTTTGTAATGTCACTGTATCTATCTTCCAAAATCTAATGAAAATGTTGCTTTAGGAAGGAATGTGGGAAATTTCACAGGATAAGACTAGAAAATTTAGAACTATGTTCAAATTTATTTGATATTTCATTCCACCTAATGCTACTGTTTAAGTATTAGATGATATTTGTTCATTATTCGAGCTATTTTAAACAGTGAGACTAATTCTTCAGTATTGGGAAAACCAGTCGTCTCACATAAAGCGAAGGCTTGATACGTTACAAAAGTAGAGTCTCACAAAAGTAAGAAGCAATAAATAAACGCTTTCATTTTTTTATTTTTCCTTCTACAGTGTAAATTTCAGTTATCCACTTACTTTTCTTCGCTGACAATATCTTGAATTTTACTAGTGATATCATAGTAGTTTTTGTTTGATTTTCTCTTTGCCATTATAAGGAAATAGTTCATTTTCAATTTAGCGACAAGTTTTGAGATTGTGTGCTTTTTGTTGGAATTTGTCATTTTTCATTCGAAAATTTGTAAATTTTGTAAATTTTTAAGTTATTCTTGATACAAATTGAGATATAACTTATTCAAATAAGGAAAGGTATAAATTGAAATTTGATAACACATTTTCCAGTTGTTATTGCTATTCACACTTAATATTTGCTTTCTCCTTTCTCTTACGGTGAAAGAACTGTATTTTTTTGTTGCTGTTGTATTTTTCCGCCCGCTGGATAAAATTTTTAATTCGAACAGTGCTTATGATATTTGTATGGTTTTGCTCTGCTTTCCTATTACTGATTTTTTTGGCCACATGCAGAAGGTCTGCTTACAGTTTCTACGTTCATTTACCAGGGCTGAAAAATTTACTGGGTCTCTAAACTTTTATACGAATTTAAATTAATTGCAAACAAATCCCAGAAAGAGGCACATTGCAATTTTTTTTTTGAAGAATTGTCTTCAAGATGGATTTTCTAAGCATATCTTTATATTTGGAATACGTTATTATCATAAGTTTGCAACGACATCTGCAATAATCATAAGTTTACTACTTAAAACGATACAAATTGAAGTCATTGCTGCATTTTTCAATTGCTAACTTCATTCGTACTTGATAATTTGTTCCCTGCTTTCTTTTATCGGAGTATTGTATTTTTTAGTGTTTGCTTTTCATTTTTTTTTTCGATATCTCATGTGTTGAAATGCTTGTATATACAGAAAATTAAATAATGAAGCGAGAAGCTTGTCAAGCAGCAGTGATTAAAATTTTTTCAGAGAAGAAGTCATTTCATCTACTGGACAATGTCATCAAATGAAGAAACGCCAACGACATCTGCAATAACTTCAATAACTCCAACAGCTGCAGTGGTGTCGGCTTTACCTATAACCGTTCAAGCTGCATCTCATAATTCGCCTGCTTTTGTTAATTTGTCCGTTGGCGAACTACTTCAAAAGCAGCATCGCATAACAGTCGTAACAGTGGTAAGGAAGTTACCGATTCAGAAGTTTCGGTTTGCAATGCTCGGAGTTTTGACATTTGATTCAATCCCTTTTGAAAAATCCACAAAAATTTAGCCGGCGTCAAGAGGTGTTACATCATCACCAGTGGGACTGGGAAACCGATTCCCAATAAAGCCAATGCCACACCAATCGCTTACAGACAGTGTTATCTCACGTTCATCGAGTTGTCCGTTAGGTTTGTTTTCATTTCTTTTTGCATCATATACCGGTATTGGGAAGACTAGTATTGGGAGGATGCAACAGTTGCAAGCATATATTTTAATTGGATAAATTATGTTGATTTAAGTTCTAATTCAATTTCATGTATTTCTCCCTTCAAAAATAAACCAATGTTTTTTGATAATGAGGTGATGCGCCAAAATTTGTCCTTTCAAATGAACATCTTTTCGCCATTTGTCCCTATGACACTTAAACGTAAATCAAATGTCCTGCAATTAAGCTCTTGTTTTCGTGTATCCGTTTATTTCTTGACTGCTATGAAAATAAGATATGCCTTGATTGCTGTATGCAACGACTACTTCAGTTATAATTGATGTTTTGTATTTTAAAAGTGAATTATTTAGATTACAAAATTCAGTTCAAAAATTACAGAGCAGTCTAAAACGTTTGAATATACTGAAGAGAGTTGTGGTTGTGTTTATGACTAGTCATTGAAATATTGATAATATAGTTATCTGAAATTGTTTTTCAAATGGGTACTTAAAATTATCATTCTTCTACAGGAATAAATGTATCTTTGATCTGAATGAAGAGAACAATTAAAATGCTGTCGAAGGTGCATTTGATGCATTTTTTGAATTTTGAAGTAAAAAATAAACTTATCTGCTTAACTTTTTATACATTCTTTTAGTTCTTTAAGAATATACAAAGTAATGTCATGACTATTCGCGAAAGTTAAAATGAGATGCTTTAGAATGTTTAGCTTCTTTTTTATTTAGATCCCAATAAATTAAAAGAAGCTATAGCGGAACCTTCGCAGCTTAATGTTGCACGGAAACTAAATGTCATTGATATAATCAAATCGGTAGGCGCTTCTGAGCAGGTATTGATTATTTTATTTTATATTGATTCTCTAAATTAATTATTCTCTGAATTCAAATTTAATTTTTAGGGGAGACTTATTTTTTCGGGAATTCAGTTCCGGTTTTTTAACGGTGAAAATGGTAAAATTTTAGCCTCATTTGGTAGCAGCATCAGGATCGACATCGATTCTTGGATCCTTGCAGTTGGATGATCTCATACGGCAAATTGATCCTACCTCAATTCTTGATGACCCTGTAAAAACTATGCTCATTGAATTTGTCGACGATTTCGTTAATCAGGTATCTTGGAAGTACTAAGTTTTGTAATTTCTTCGATTTTCGACGATCGAGGATATTTCTGACGATTAAATTTTAAAAGCGAGGCAATCTTTTTTGATTATGGATTTAAAAGGTTTCACTATGGATCTTGAACTTTTCACAGTCTTAAATTTTTCTTCTAGGTCATTGAACGGTCTTGTAAGCTTGCTCGTCATCGTGGTTCGGATGCGCTAGAAGCTACAGATGTTGATTTCATTCTGCGACGATATTATAACTATCCTACCCTTCTAAAAAGTGAACCTCAGGCAAAGTCCGACAGTGTGGAGAATATTGAAAAAAGTGCCGAAATGATGGCACATAATCAACGAATGGCATTAATTAAGAAAACTCTTAAAAAACCCTAATTCTTCCATTTGTTCATCTTACGATTGCTACGACTTATTCTTTATTTTCCAAACTTGGTTTTATTTTCGATTATTATGATACAAACCGAATTATTTTGTAAACACATCATCCATTCTGCTTTTTATAAATTTCAGGGACTTCGAAATTTCTAGAAACTTTTTATAAATTTAATTTTTTAATTCTTTTTATGTAAAATATATCAATTAATAACTTTTTCCTACTCCTTCTTATGAAAGTCAGCCAATTTTCTTATCGACTAATGTTCGCTCTTAGTTGTGAATAGTGTCTTTTCTGCGCCAGCACTGGAAAAAATTTGATGGTTTTTAACTTAGTTGCTTTTTAATTCTTGTTCACTCCTTTTGCATACTAACACTGTCGATGAATATCTTTGGCATTTTTAGTTGTTTTCTCAGATCTCGCAGATATAAGCAAGTTTTTTATTACCTTACTTGTTTTTATATTTAGTTGTGTAGCCTTGTTGTGCTTACATTTTGAAAATTTGCCGTTTTAGGTGAGTATTAGATGCATTTTGATTTTGATGGCTTTAAATATTCACGCTTCCACTTAATCTATCCCATGATTTGTGCAAATCTTTCTTTCCAAGTTATTCCTTTTTTCATTTCATTTTTAGATTATAATCATTTAAACTGAGTTAAATTTTCCTTTTCCATGAAAATTTTCCTTTTTCCATCAGATTTTCCTTTTCCATGAAATAGTGCGATTTATATGAGCTACTGAAATATATAAGCTCTGGAGACTAATATTATTTAGATATGAAGTATTTTGGCACAATAGCCGCAACTTTTGAATTGAGATTTTCGAGTCTATGATTTTTGGTGCTACGTCTTTATGTTCAAAAAAGTTTTGAGTGTTTATTATCATATTCATTTCCGATATAAATTGTTTGTTTCGTGGATACTGTTTCTTAATGGAAATAACATAATATGCAATTATAGTCAGATTTGGCATCAAGTGTTGCTTTGTCTTTCCAGTATAGATTTCAAAGATGTATTTGTTTGACTGTCAAAGTGCAAATAGCACATGGAAGCAAATGTCCAGAAATGTTAATATGACTGACTGTCCTAGCGTGGCGAAAATAGATTAGAACAGATTTTTTTTTTTTTTATTATATCTGTTTTCAGTACTGTGTTACTGCACTCGATTTCACACGACGAATGTTAAAACCTATAACATAAGTTCAGAGGGGAATGTATCATATTGCGATTGATTCTCAAAAAATAAATTGAAGTATGATATAAACATAATTGGTGCAAATGATGTAAAAGTATGAGATCAGGATCCGACATATCCGTTTATGCCAAAAGTTTCATCTGGGCAGCAGTTTCTTAGTGCGCAGATGGCAGCAATTCGTTAGGTATGAAAACAGGCAAGGAAGATCATGGTATGCATTCCAAAATTGAGTGAAAACAGCAAACAGATGCTGGTGAATAATAGTCACCGATAGCGGCCTTGAACCGGTTTTTAATTTCAAATGGACCAACCTATACTGATGAAACGATGATAGTAGATGAGGTAGGTGTATTTGTAAGCGTTATGGCGTGTAGAACTACTTTGGTTCTTTAATAAAAAATATTAGCAAAAACATCAAACTCATTAATTTTGATCTATTTAGCTCATCGTATTGTTTATCAAGTCGTGTGTAAATTGGTAAGATATTTTAATTTGATGATTCACTGTCGTGGAAATACTACCATTTTGCAATAACACTTTTTTCCTATCATTTTATGAATATTTTTCATTAATTAAATTTCATTAAAGTATTATCGCATCTCTATTTCTGCATTATTTTATAATGAATTGTGTTATTATCGCCCGCATTGTTTTTGGCATAGACCCAGAAGTTTTTTTTTTTTTTTTTTTAAAAATAATTTTGAAAGTTGAAAAATAAAAATGTATTTATTTGCGAACTTAGCTAAATTTCTAGTAAATAATTTTTGATAATGTATAAAAATCTTAATCATTCTGTTTTGCCAGCAAACTTGACCAAACGTAACAATGGTCAAAAAATTTTGGTTAAAAGCCTCAATAGCTTTGCTTATCAACTTCAAAACTTGGGCTGAGTAAGTTTATTTTTTGAAGGTATATATGACGTATAACATTATCTTTCTTCTTTTTCAGTTGCATTACATTAGTTGTACTACATTTCCTATGTGACTTCCTTATACTCATTCAAGATAATGTCACCCAGTAATGTCTCTTTTTAATTTATTCACTTCAATGTTATGTTAAGTAATTTCAGTATTTCTTTATATGCATAACAAAGTGGAATGATTAGACAGTATTAAATTGATTAATGTTTAATCTTTAAGATTGGAAAAAGAATAACAAATTTTAGAGAGAATATAAAGAAATTAAGTGAAAAAATATACTAGAAATAAATGTTGAAATATGAAGCTTGTGTAGAGTAGTAAAACTTTCAACAATTTTTTCAAATTTAAAAATTTTCGGCATGAAAAGTTTCAGGAATGTTTATTGCACATATTACCGGAATACAGACGAAATTACATGCGGGTATGTCCTTTTTTCGGTTCGATTCAAAATAATGGGAAAGAATACAATACTAAATATAAATTGAAAATTAAGAAAGAGGGAAACGGTAATTGTTAAATTCAGAGTAAGCGATGAATAAGCCTAAATTCAAATTCCATCGGAATTTATTCCTACAATAATTCGTAAATTTTAAATGTTTTAAAACCGTATTTAATTAATACCATTCACAAATGTAATCCGAAGTTTTATAGTACTGTCACTTGTCAAACGCATGTTCCATTTGGGAACGACTTGGAAGAGGAAGAAGGCTTGGAAACAAAATTGCCACTTGGTTGGTATCGTATTGGTACGCTGCAAATTCGACATGACTCATCGTGGTTTAACTTGTATCGGAGACGTGCTTCTGGTTCAGGATATTGGGATTTTTATACAATGATTCCGGAGCGAAACTGTATTGGGTTAAGTCGGCTTTAAAAATTGTGAAAAAATTCTCAGTAGTTGGTTTCATTTAAAAAATCGTCTTCCATTTGGGAAAGTCCTCGAAAATAGAAACTTGGATGGCTTTCAAATATATATCTTTGAGTTAATTTTAACGTACATTTTCTTATAATTTTCATGCTATCAGCCTGCTATTATGATCGTAAGAGGAGTTAAATTTTAAAGAAATTTTAATGCACGTTACAATGATTGTTAAGTGATCCTCAGTGAATTTTCAGAAATTTTGGCCTTCATGCAGGTGAGAATTTGCCTGGTTCGGTGACACTAAAAGACAAACGCTGTTTTGATCGACTGATTCGACAGATTGAACGCAAAACAACTACTGAAAAATTTGATGTTTATCAATGTAGGAAATGTATATTCAATACCTGCTGGTTAGGTACTCGTTTGCTCCCGTCTTATCGTGAATATCTGACTAATCTAAGGTCTATTTAGAAGCTATAAAACTAATGAACTATAAAAAATCCGAGATTTAAAGACGATTTTGAATTTTAGTCAGAAAACTTTATCGCGCATTGCTTTTCCTCATATTTGCGTTGCTTGTATTACAGCGCAGCTGTGCCATAGTTTAAAACTTTCTGTAATTGTGCAGATGGAAAATTCTTGAATGAGATTTATCAAATTTTGTGCAACCAGGAACTCTTAATCATTAATAAAATGCACATCCAAAAATAGATTAAGATGAGCAAAGGCGTAGGTAGATGTATGTACTTTGATTACAAACTGGATTAAAAACACTGAACTTTACAAAATATGCAAACTTAATAAAACTAATTTTCGGTTAAAAAACTAAGATTCGAACTTATTAATAACTGCATTTCCTTAAGGCCATTATAGCTTCTGCTGCGTGGCTATTTTCTATATAGGCCACCACTGCTTTTTTAAATACTTTGGACTCAATAATTGAAATCATGCAGGAACTTCATGAAGTAACTTTTGACGTTCAAGATTTACCAAGCATTTTAATTTGTTCGTTTTTCATCTACTAAAATGTTTCATCTACAAAAATTAGGTCAAAAAATACGCAAATGAACAATTTCTCCAAATCTATGTGAAATTAAACTGAAATATAAAATATTTATGTTTAGAGCTAACGCTTAAAATTCGTGAATCAGAACCACATGTCGAAATTTCTGATCGGAAAATAATGTGGCGGGAGCTTCATTTCGAATTTAAAAGTCACAAAATCCCATTAATAATTAAATTTTGTTCTACCGGTATTAACAAAACATAACATTGAACTGAATTTACATGTTTCTATACATCGAATATTTAAAAATCTAAAATTGAAAGTGAGCAGACAATTTTTTTCCCAAATATCAACTAAGTTTGCTTGATAACATATTTTCCTTTCGTAATGTTTTCAGTTATGATTTTACATATTAAAAAAAAATTAAACAATTCGAAAATCAACTTCAAAATTCCATTAAATTTAATTCAGTAGGGAAGAAACAAATTTCTCGAGCGATTCGTACGTAAGCCATATTGTAAATGCTATGCCACATACAACTAATGTCGCAATTCCGAGCGCCAAATAACAGCGTGACATAGCTCCACTACTTCTTTTCACTTTTGGTGGAACGGACAAAGGCCTCATGTCGATCGATTTTTTTGTATGAATAACACTGAAATTAAAAAAAAAAAAGTAATTGATAGTATTATTTAAAAGCGTACATTTGCCATGAAATATTTCCTGAATCATCCCACCTGAGAAGAGTAAGACTTCTGATAACTTCAATGAAAACAAATGAATAATGTGACATAAGCACTGAGTAATGGAAAAATTAAAATGAAGAAATATGGGATGATATCAGTTAAGGCCGTGAAAATATGTTCTTGTTATTCACTGAATATTTAATTGAAGAGTTTTCTTCAGTTTTCTCACTATTTTATTTTCCGTCAGATTTTATAATTGACATCGCAGATGCTTCTTCCTCACATTCCTTTATCATTCTCACCATTAACGTTCATTATTACCACTATTTATTATTATTATTATTAATTATTGTATAATTATTGCATTATTATCAATTGTTGTATTATTGTAACCCTTTCAATATAATCTTCTTTGCAATCACTGTTATTTCTATTGTCTTTGTTTTCCTTCTTTTATCCTCAGTTTTTTCTGTCTTCCCTTTTCTCCATATATTGTCAAGTTTCAAATTTAATTCCTTTCCTCAAATTTCATCCACAATTGACCGTGAAATTTCTGCTCGATGAATGAACTCTTTAAATATGGTCATCGACCTTTTAATTGTATTTCCATGCAAAAACTGAAATAAGCTAGAAGAGCTGCTTTTGAACATGAGATAGGATATTGACTGAATCAAGAAGTAACTTTTTACAAATCGGAAAGATTTGTGAGGGGATTCAAGCAATATCACCATTATTACATGAAAAATTTAAAAAGGATGGAAATCCTTGTATTCAAAGCGAAAGTTAAATGCGATAAATGAAAAATGGACTTGGTAGAAGGATGATCGACGGTAACACTCAAGTTTCGGGTCGGACTACTGACTCGAGATGTTTTCGGATTTGAAACCATTATAGCTGAACAAGACATCTTCTTTAGTTCCGCAGCACTCTCCATGTCGGAGACATTCTCGTACAGTGTAGATGAACCGAACGAATGAGGTCCTGTCTTTAGGCCTTCCTCTGGAAACATGTGCTCCAAGGATAGACGGCTTGATCTTAACGCTGTTGATGCTGAAAATATTCAAAAGTCATTTAGATATAATTTCTTTGCAAATTATTTTTGTCTGAACAGTGTGACGTAGCTTAAATTAAGTAATTTTATTTTTGAAGGCTTTTGCATTCACTCTTCCATTTTAACTGACTGACAAATTTGAAAATATAAGCTAATAAAATTCGTAAATTTGTTTTCGAAGATTTTGTATAATCTACACTAAAATCAGATAACAAAAACAAATAATACTTCGAAATCTGTTGATTTTCTGCAACGCTTTTATCACATAAAAGTTTACTTTAAAAGTTTAGGAAATTTTTTGCAAATTTTAAGAAATGGAAATTTTTGACTAACTTATGCTGTGTATGTTTTTTCATATTCAGAAAACTTATAATGTTTTATGAAAAGAGACACTGGGCAAAGAATTTTGTTGGGACATTAAACCATTTGTAACTCAATGCTTAGAAAAGCGAAATACTAACATGTCTCCAAGATTTCTAGCAATTCTTTTGTGTCAGAAGACCTTTAAAGTTTCAGAATAAAAAAGCCGAAAATTGATGACGAAAACTTACGAAAATCATTGGCTCAAATGACAAATGCAAGGTTCTTTATTTATAAGGCAATTAACGACTGATTGTGACATCACTTTTTTTTTTTTCATTAATCAAGTGATGAATTAACAATTTATAGCACGGTATCATTGGCAATAAAAAGTGTATCCTACAGAAAAAATGATAATCTTCAATGTAATTTTTTAAAAAAGAATATTTAAAAAATAAAAATGACTCGAATAAGATTCTATTAACTGCAGATGTAATTTATTAGTAGATTCATTCATTTTGAGACTTAAAATTTTGAAGATAAATCCTTTAGTCTTAAAAAAATTAATCTAATTTTTATCAAGACAAGCATTGTAATTATTAGATGTAAATGCCAGCAAATTAGATGCTAACGAATTTGAGATGCAATTTCCTTGTGCATGTAAGCGTGATTGTACAAAATATTAGATTTCAAAAAAATGGAACAAAACTTTGCACTATATTTTGCTATCATTAAAACTCAATCATCATTATCATCATCTTTACCATTAATCATCATCAATCATCACCATTCATAATCATCATCATTAATTGTCACCATCAACCATCATTACCATCAATCATCATCGTCATCATCATCAATCATCATGGTCATCATCAATCATTATCATTATCATCGATTATCAATCATTATCAACATCATTATCACCGTCATTATCATCATCATTATCATCGATCATCGATCAATATTATCAACATTATCATTATCGTCAATCATTATCATCATCATTATCACCAATCATCAATCATTATCATCAATTATTATCATCATCATTATCACCAATCATCAATCATTATCATTGATCATCATAATTATGACAATGAAAAGAGGAAATGGTAACAGTCGGTTGGATAGTGAGTGGGTGATATTATTGAAGGCTTCAATCCAGCAATACTGCTTAGTTTGGAATCACTTTAAAATGCTTTGAATACAAATAGATTATTATGTTGTAGTAGAAAATTAATATTACTTGAAATAGAATATGCCATAGTTGAGAACTTTTGTAGGAAATTATAAAAACGTTGAAATTATTGAAGGTAGATAGATAGATAGATGGGAACGATGCACTCATTCTTCGACAATTATTCTCTCATTCCTTTTTTAAAGAAAGCATCGGTGACATACCAAATAAAAATAAATTTTGGAATGAGGAAACGGAAGGCGATAAGATTGCTATAAGAATGATTGAATTAATGATATTTTTTTATAAAAACTGCTACTCTGGAAGAAATTTTTAAAAAAGCTTAAATTTATAGAAAAACACATTGTTTCCTTCGATAGATTTATATTTCATTTAAGTTCAATAAAAAAAAAAAATGGAAAATAAAAAATAGTAGTTTATAAAATGAAAATGATTCATCAGCTAACAGTCAACTGATTACCCGTATCATCTTCATTAATTTGTGCATGTAAGCTTCCATTTCCATCTCTCATTTCTCATCTAACCGATCCTCAACAGGGTTTTCTGTTTGTCAAGGCTACTTAAGAGAGTTATAGTTACTCCCGCCGTTTACCCTCGCTTCCACAGTTTTTCATGGAAACGATGAATTCATTTGTGTATTAGTTAGCGATAGAATGCTGTTTCCATTGGTTTTGAATTCTCCTGTCAGGAATGAAGCCAATACAGTAATTACTGAAATTCAGAATTTATTTCCTGAAGAAGATCACTAATATCGTATCATCCACTAGTGCAATTGAAAAAGTGTGTGGGCACGAACATTCCTGATGTACCAAACAATAGTTCAAATTTAATTTTTGCTTATTTTTTAATTTAAAATATCTTTCTAAAAGAAGAGAAAAAAACTTTTATTAAACCAATCTTACATTACTATGTTTGTTATCATACACTCAAAAATTGCAAACATCAAAAACCCGAATGTTCAGATGAACTTTTGCTACGCTCAGGAAATAGGTGTAGGATAAAAAAAAAAATAGCTGAATGAAATACTAAGAATTTTGTTTTGTTTTTACTGAGTATGTTTTTGTAACTTGGAAAATAAAAGTCGGAAAAAGACGTAAAGGCAAAAGTTAATATCAGTACTGGACGATTATTTCAACAAATTACTTAAAATAAATTATCTTTCTAAGATGTTCTTGACATAAACGGCTATTTTTGTTTACTTTTCATAACTTATGTGAGAAGGGAATTAAATTGATCTTGAAAAAACTCATTTACTAAAAATATTACAAAAAAAAACATTAAAAGTTTTTTCTGATTTTAAGATTTCATAATCTTAACAACTTTACTGGTAAAATAAGCCATTTGCTAAGATGTAGTGTTCGACCTCATTATTGCCAGTAATAGCGAATAAACAAAATAACTTGCTAGTAATTGGAGAAAATTAATTTATCTGATCGCGTTAAGATTTCACTTTTAACTTCTAGATAAATAAGGTAAGTTGAATTGAAAATGTCACTTCAGTTGTTGAAGAAATGACAATAAAACTTTCTACATTGGTATTATTTGGCTATATTGCAAACCCCCACTTATTTCAAAATAATTTTGCAATGAAACTGCAGAAAAAGATATATGTGATTTGATGATTATTAAATAGCATTTTAAATTAATTTGCATTATTAAGCAATAGGAATATCCGGAAGACTTTCTACAAAGCATCAACAAAATCAATAAATAGGATTAATTTTAGAGTAATATGTCAGAAAATTTGGAGCAATTCCAGTATTTTCCATTAATCAAGTTGAGCTCTTATTTAAATCAAATCAATTAAAAAATTACTGTTTTAATTATGAAGAGACTTTGTCAACTTGCTGTTCTTCTATGTATGTGCAATTATTGTTTTGTCCTACTTGTCGGTTTAAATGTTTCCGTGTGGATACAAACTTCAGTGCAGTTATAAAAAACACTATTTTGTATTTCTTTTAAATGCTCATGTCGCAAAAAAATGCGAGATTTGTGACGAAACACAATCAGATTACTGTCCTGTTTGATCTATTCAGTATTTGACGATAATTCATGAAACAAAATACTTCACAATTTTCATTTCAGACAAAATCAGTGCCTCGATATCTTTCGCTACTCATTCAGTCGTAAAATTCTTTAAAGGACTCAGATACTTTTTGCTTTCAAAATTTAACTTGAAAATGGATGCCTTTTACTCTGCGGAAATGATAATGTTTACGCTCAAAAGAATGCATTGTATATGCCTCAAGAGCTTAAATAAGCCATGAAAACACTTTAGAAAGTAGTGCATTGATTGGTTAAGGTTAGATAAGCATTATAAAATTATGGCTTACTTTAAAAATGAATTCAGGATGGAAAAGGACTGAATGCATTTCAGGAAGGAATGATAAGAAATGCACAAAGATTAAGCTAAAAGAGGTAATTTAAATGATAATGGTGGATGATTAGTAAAATTATTAGTTTCTGTTGCATAGTAACAAAGAAAAACAGAACGGACATTTTTGCTTCCGCCTCGCTCGATCTTGCTTTCGGTGCATAGCCATCGGTAACATTTTCTTTTTTCAGTTTACCTCGGAACTCGAGTGCTGTCAGTAATAGGTTTTTGTGATCTAAATATGATTCATTAATCAATCAATTGTAATTGAATATAGAATTATCGGAATTGTTTGCTACTTTATTAATGCTTAAAGAAGAGGAAAAATAAAGAACGAAAGAATCGGAAGCGAATTGGATAATACCAATAAAGATCAGAAGTGATTGAGTATAACAAATTAAAGGAAACTGAAGTATTCTGTTTTAAATTATTCGAGCTAAATTTTTATTAAAAGCTTACTTCTGACAGAAGTATTCCAGCAATTTGCTTATCAGTGGCCTATTTTTACACATCGTGTTTTCTAATATTTTAGGAAAAAGCAAAACAAAGCTGATTTTCGATACTGCCAAACATCTAAGATCAAATATATAAGAAAATAAAGAACATTTAGCTTCAAATCCTCTTACATTTCAACACAATTTCAGACCACTTCTTTCTTTTTAACTAAAATGTAGAAAATTCAATCACCGCATATTTAGAACAAATCACCTCATCAGAAATGTATACTAGAAATAAAGCTCAAATCAAAAACTTAAGTTGAAAGGAGACAATGTAAATGTTGCAGATTTACTCTTTCGTCTCATTTTTATTCACCAAAATTATTTTCTCGTTTTAATGATACCAATAAGAGAAGTTCATTTCATTAACATATCATATTGTCTCCCGACTGATTTACTTTTGTTTAATTCTACCGGTTTCAAATTACTTTACATTTGTGCTCAGAGAACAATCCATTATAATTAAACTTCAATAAATTCACACCACTTTTTAATGTTAGAAATGAAAAGAAGCAACAAATTTCTCCTCAAAACAATCACTGATGTGATTAGAGGGTGGGAGGTGGGAAAAAAGTGAAAGCAAATTTGTTCTGATAAAACGAGTAAACGTTAACGATATCATGTCACCAACCACTATTTTTACAAACCTCTTTATTGCAATAAACATCTCTGAACAGCTGATTTGCTTCATATGACCTGTTGAAAACTGTGCCCAGTCCTGATTTCTTTTAGATAAGTGGAAGAATGAGGAAAAGCCAATTATGAATTGCATTTTTCCAAATTCAGTTCATAACTTTTAAGAAACGCTGTCATATTGAATTCTTTGTCCTAAAAACTATTTTAAAACATTGTTTTATCATGCCAAAATTGTTTGTTATAATTTAGTCCCTCATGGAATGGAATCCTACAGATTTATAAAACGGATAATTCTTTTTTCCTTTTTCTGGAAATTATCATACAATTCACCCAATGCTTACAAAAATATAAAAGAGAACGATGCGACGAAAGAATGTGCACTGACATTATTCTATTTCCAGTATTGTTATTTTCCGGTGTACAGTAAAAAAAAATTTCTATTTCGTTATCGTGCAGCGTTTCTATAATGCACCTGTTCATACTCACATAACTGACTAAACAATTGGGCAAAGTTTAAAAGATAAAACAAGTCTGGGGTTGCAAAATATCTTACTATTTCAATCAAATAACGAATGACTCTTAAATCGATTAGTTTTTAAATTTAGTTTTGTTCCCACAACTGCTCAAGATGTTTGCGTGTTGCGTAAGGGTACATCTATACGTGTATCTATATCCACATTTATTTATTTATCTATCTATCTATCTATCTAGTCTACTTATTTTTGTATGTATGTGCGTGTTCGTGTCTGTCTGGTTTATACGTCTTCTCGAGAGTATGCACACTTTCTTTAAAGTTGAATGTATGAGAATGGCGAAGAAAGAGTAATGAAACTGACGTACACACATACACACAATCTGACGCACTCTGCCACATCTATTAAAGAAAACGCAAAGCAAGTTAACTATCTTTTCTCAATCTAAACACATGAAGGAGTCGCAGTGCCACGTATCCACCAGACATTAATATTTCAACATTTCATCATTCAGCTGTTGACCTAGGATTTTGTTACGAAATTTTGTTGACGTCAAAATTTACTCACTGAGTGGATTGAAGTCACTTAACATTTTAGAATTGAAATCAGCTTTAAAACAGTAGTGCCTTTTGGCGACTAGAAAGAAGTATATTCGTGTCCGCTTTCGGAATCAGCAATATTTCTTAAAATTTAAATTTGGTGAAAAGTTTTATCATTCACAAAAATGCCCATGCTAGAATTTGAGTCTTTCTGTTCCAAATATAAAAATCATATCATAATCATTGCTTAAGAACAGTTCAATTCAGTGATCGAAAAAGAAACAACAGTTATTTGTTATTTGGTTCATTCGTCAATCAGGTCACCGACTAACAAAAAAGAAAAAAAAAATTTCTCAGCTTAGTAATTTTTTATCCATTTAAGAGGCAATTTGATCTCAGTTTTTATCTTAAACGAAAAAAATAATTTTGGATATAATTTAACCCACTTGTAAATCAGTTCTATTGATCTGTCTTTCTTTTATTACATCAAAATATTTCAATTCCTTCTCAGAAAAGAATTAATGACACTGACAACATAAATTTTTACAAAATATTTTCAAGAATCTCCTGTAAAAATCCTCATAGACTATTAGAAATTATCGCAAGATGAAGCAGAAGAACTAACAAAGTAGATGAGAACTGGACCAAATGGCTCTTTGATTCAATTAAATGAGATCTCCCATTTAATTGTTTTCAGTATTGTCTTAATTCAGAAAGTGTGGTGAAGTAGATTTGAAATGAATCAAACTGAATTTAAAAGAATTGAATTCGATCACGTTGCTGCATTCAAATTCGCTGAAAAGCTGGCTTCTAAAAAAAAAAAAAATTCAGGCTGACAAAAATTGTGGAAAAATTTCGCCAGTTATTTAAAAAATAAATTTTCGAGTGTAATTTTTTCCCATTCTTTCAAAATTCCCAAATGCTTTATACCTATAACTGAACTTTTGCTAAGCTCAGATAATGCATTTCGAGCTGTGAGTTCGATTCTTCATATCTGCTTCAATCGACTGAAATGAGTTTACCTTAGAATTTATTTATAAAACGAGCCTGTACGCACACTCAAAGGCCTTAAAGCAAGGCATTTCTTTATCGACTATGTCAAAACACACTTGCCTTACTTAATATCGAAGTATTACAGACGATTTTAGCCACATTAATTAACAGCTGTGTTTCATCTAATGCACTTCCCCATAAAATCGATACTTTGTCCTGTTTTTATTTTCGAGTTATTCCAAATACTCCCAAATTACTTGTCCATTTAATTCACAAAACCGACCCGATCATGTATATCCATTCTGCCGTTTGTTGGTAACCTACGTACACAAAGTAACCTACGCAAGAAAATCCTAAAACTATATCGCCTAAAATATCCAAATCTCATACTGTACTCTCATAGAAGTCAAAGTTATAATTTTTTATTATTGTTGGACCTTCAAATGTCACAGATATTTTTTGTGTCACTTCAAATATGTAAAGAAATGTGGGATTCTGAATTGTAGCAGTTCAAAAAGTACCCAAAGAAATACCTAAAATTCGACAAATTTTAAGCTGGAAAGCAATATCCTAACACCATTAGAAAAGACAAGGTTCTACTATTCCCTTGCTGGGTTTCTGAAATTTTCATCGGGGTGCTGGTTCGTTATTGAAAGTGGTTTCTTTGCTGACGTGTTACGTGACTTCGGGGAAGAAGAGTTAGGAGGAAAAGGAGTTGTCGTTATCAGTGCAACTTTATTTTTTCCTTTCTACATTCAGTTCAACTATGATTCCCTTCTTCTTTTTCCTCTAACAATACGAAATATTTTGCGGTTGTAATTGTTGAATTGAACAAGCATATACTTATGAAGAAATTTCAGCATTTTAAAATCGCTCTAAGATGGAATCGCTTTATCGAAGTGAAGAAATGTGCTTAGCACAGTTGTTTCTGCAAACGGAAGCTGCGTATACTTGCGTCGCAGAGCTAGGAGAATTGGGTCTTGTGCAATTTCGTGATGTAAGTTTGATTTTATTCATGGTTAACATCACTTGCGATTCGCATGATTGTTCCGATTTTTGTATTCGGCAGTTAGTGTTTAGCAATGTTTGATAGTTGCGTTTTGTTTATTAGGACGATGATAACGTTGATTACACTTATCATTTCAGCTCAATCCAGATGTAAGTGCTTTCCAACGGAAATTTGTGAATGAAGTGCGAAGATGTGATGAAATGGAACGAAAATTAAGTATGTTAGTGGTTTTTGAAGTGAAATATATTTTAGAATTTACAGCTCCAGTAGCTATCTATGCCCTACACTATACTTTTCACTCTTTATTTACACTTCCCTATTATATATATTATGTATTTATCGTAAATGTCTTCAGCAGAAAACATTAAAACGTGAAGTGGTTAATATTACAACACCTGTTGAGAAATGATGTAGTAAATTTCTTTTTAGGGTTTTTGGAGCGTGAAATCAAAAAAGACTTAATACCAATGTTGGATACAGGCGAAAATCCAGATGCTCCACAACCGAAAGAGATGATTGATTTAGAAGTGGGTGGTATAATAAATAATATACAGATTCATAGTAGAGAAGAAACAACTTCTATCACACTGTTAGATTAAAGCTGTTACATTTGACGGATTCCCAGTTATTGATTGTTGTAGGCAACATTCGACAAGTTAGAAACTGAATTACAAGAGGTTAATCAAAATGAAGAAATGCTGAAGAAAAACTTCTCGGAATTAACGGAACTAAAACACATTCTTCGGAAAACACAACAGTTCTTCGAAGAGGTATTATTACAAGCCATCATTTTATTCATAGGTGGGGTTAAGTTAATTCGAATATAAGTAAGTGGATTAATATTAAAAAAATAGGAAGACATTTCAGCTGCATCTATTAACTAAAAAAATGCCTATGTGATTAGGTAAGAAGTAGGTCAACAAAGGCCGTAAGTTGAGTTGGAACAGGTTAATTATTAATGAAATAGATTTCACGAATTGTACATGATGAAATTAACCGCGTTAGTGTATTATCCAAGTAAACTTGACGTTGATCGTGCAGTAGGAGGTTATGCCTCATAGGAAATAATGCAGTGTGAATGGTAGGATAAGAATGGAAATAAATTTACTGAAAAGCTAAAGCAGAGCTTTAGAATTTGTAAATTTCTGTAAAATCGCTGAATCCTTCGAACTCGATGAGTTTGGTCTTAGGCAATCTGAACTTTGTAACTATCAGTTCACATTCAATGAATCACATTGAGGAATGCTAGACGTGGCTTTTGCACATTTCTGTTTTGCGGTAGTTGTTTTGTGCGGTTTTTTGTCTGAGATTTTGATGTTATTAGATGTAATCGGAGTTTCTGACATTATTGGAATTAATTCCTAACATTTTTGTGATATTTTCATTAACATAATTTTAATTTTGGTGTTCTTTTTTTTTTTTTTTTCGAAATGCTTTTTCTGAAATTTATATTATCTGAGGGTAGCATTTTTATTTGGCAGTCGAGTTTGGATGGTTTGGCCAACCCCCTTTACATTGAAATGACCACTTAATCCGGTCCATTTTGGAATGTCTCATCTTAGAAAAGTTATATCTGAGGATTCGTAGAAGCAGTATGTTACTCTGTGACATCAGTATTCATTTCCCGATTTTCCTCTATATCTACGTAGGTATACGCAGTTGATAATGTTCCACTTTTGTGATACTTGAGTGGATTTAGTAGTTTTATTGGTCGAGATCTTCACTAATCAAATGCTAACTTTAAAACGGCCTGACCTCATCTGCTTTTCTCACCACTGATTTCTCTCATAAAGTAAATTTCATCGTTTCTGAACTTAATGGCTCTTTAACATAGTTATTTCGTAAGATATTAATTAGCACTAATTGAAGTGATCCTTCTTTTCGTTATCGATACTCATCAATAACAGTGAGTAATAAGGAATACGAACTGTCGATTTTTTGACAAAATGTTAACTGTGTTTGCTGTATTTCAGGAAAAGCATTTCATCTAGTAACCATTTTATCAAGACTTATTTTATGTTTGCATATCAAGAAGCTTAAAATAAATTGTCTTTAATAGCACCTGTTTATTGTTTTGAAAAGTCTTTTGCTTTTTTTATTACATAGTATGGGTTTTCTGAACGATGCAGGTGGAATATGGTAGATGGCCGTATGCAAAACGAGAGGAGAATCAACGTCGTTTTATTCGTGAAGAGGAGCAAAGCCTTTTGAGCGAATCGCGAAGCATGGCAGTTACTTTGCGCTTGGGGTAAGTATAAAGTTGTGTTCGTTACTTCTGTAATGTTATGATCTGTCTTTCAATGTTTGCGTTTTTATCTACAATCATATTTATGTTTGCATGGTTAGAAGCATGAATAGTTGTATACTGTAACAAATGAGTTGTGTTTGCGTTCAGAACTCAGTTCAGTTCAGTTCAGAATGTCAATATTCGTTCAGTTCAGAATGTCAATATAATGTCACCTAAGCTATAAAACTGTGTTTTATTGGATTTTCTGATTGCATGCTTTTATGAACGAATAATGTATAGATTACTTAATTCCTACTTTGCAACAAAAGGAATTAATTACAAAAAATAAATTTTCAAGAAACTAATATTCTCATGAGAAGACTTTAATTGAATTGTTTGAATTTTTTTATTGCCATCATTCAATATGTTGCTTAATTTTTTGTCGGTTTGCTTTTCTAAACATAATTTTTTTGGAACTGTAGTAGGCCTAAATCAATTATATTTGATTGCGCTTAGTTAATCGCTGATTCATAATGATGAAAAGTGGAATTTCTTTGTTCAGGCAGACTGTTTGAACTGTCATCATCATCATTCCGTTATTAAGTTATGACATAAAGTACCGAAAAACCTTCTTGAATTGCTGTGACTTGCTTCTCGGGTTCGAAGGTCATCGTATCAGAGATAAATGTCTTAAATCTCTAAAAATCTTTGGCACTTTGTCCCCTCTCTCTAAAATTAAAAGATTTCTCGTTAGTTTCAACAGTTTAAGAATAAATCGGATTGTTTGTTGTGCAGCAATTAGTTCTGTTGCTTCTGTTAGGCTGGAGCGGAAACAATCGTGCCACCAAATGCGCCAGTTGCTACCGGTCTCCCAGAACAGATCGTTCTGCAAGAAACTGAGGGAATAGGCATCGAGTTATCCGGTGCCGGAGTCACTGGCCAAATGTTTGCTAATTTTGGGTATGTCTCTTGTTCTCTTTTTTGCTTCATACGTGCAGTTAAACCATATGCAGTGTGCCGTTTATGTACCGAACATTTGTCTTAAATTATTTTGTCCCTTCTAATTTTAACCAAGTCATTCAGATCTTCAAAGAACGCAGTTAAAAACTCAGACGTACAAGTTCTATATCCTTATTTTTATAAGTGGATCTATCTTTCGTTTTTTATATATCTTTCTAAATCATTGACAATATTCATTCTAACGGCTGAAATGGGAGAGAGTAAGTCCTCGAAAATGGGCTTTTTTGTATGACTTGGTGAATTGTTATTTGTCTAAACTAACAGTTTCTATTTTTTTTAAATTTGCTTCTGGACTTTAAAAGCTCTATCTAATAGTGTTCCACGCTTCTTTACTAACTCAGTTTTTAATATTACGTCGAATTTTCAAAAGAAACTTTTAAAAATAGGTTTTACAAAATTCAAAATTAAATTCGAAGTTTTTGATTATCTAAACAATTTATCTAGAATTCTTTTGAAATCATAACTTGATTTTTTGCTTTTTAGTTGTTATAACGTTTTGTCAAGTTCTCTATTTGTAATTACTTGATTGTTTCATGTTTCCTATTATAACCTGATATTTAGCTCATCTGAAAAGAGGCGAACTTTAAACCAGATTTTGCACATTGTCTCAACCACATTTTTCTTTTCAACCGTTTTCATGTTTTTCCCCTTTTTTTTTTTTTTTTTTTGTTTAGTTTTTATTATTTTTCTTTAATCTTAAAATTTTGACGGTACAACCTTGGTGCGTATCCAGAAGATACATGAGTATTGTGACATAAATTTTGCATGTTTTCTAGATTTTGTAAGGCAAACAATACAGTTATTGTGGATCATTTCCAGAACAATATTTTCTTTTAAAGCAAAAGTTTTTTGCATACACAAATTAGTTAATTAAATTGTGAACCTTTCGTTTTGATAGGTCACTTCAATGTTACTATAAATTAAAAATTTTCTATTTAGTTTTGTTGCTGGTGTCATTGAGAGAGAGCGGCTTCCAGCATTTGAACGACTGCTGTGGCGTGCTTGTCGTGGCAATGTCTTCTTGCGGCAGTCTGAAATAGCCGAACCACTTATCGACACTACCACTGTGAATCATTATTTCCGTATTCTGCCATCTTGCATAACAGATATTGTTCTATAAATATCTATTTAAGTAATAAATTCCCCTATCTTTCCTAACCAGGCAATGGTATTGCTTGCATAATTTAGCAGATTTCTTACCTTAAAATGTTATAATCGTTACTTATCTGTGGTTACTTACCTATGCATATCTTCAACTAAGTCTTTAATGTATAACACTAAAAAAATATGGACTTTTTCAGGGGGACCCAATCATCAATACAGTGTTTATTATATTTTTCCAAGGTGATCAGTTGAAAACTCGTGTTAAAAAAATTTGCGAAGGGTACACTTTTTTTTGTTTGTTAAAAACTGAATCATTTATTGTCTATTTGCTACACATGAATTTTATGTATTCCAGCTTTCGAGCAACTCTTTATCCGTGTCCGGACACTCCTCAAGAACGACGAGAAATGTCAATAGGGGTGATGACTCGTATTGAAGATCTGAAAACTGTTTTAGGACAAACACAAGACCATCGACATCGTGTTCTGGTTACTTTCATTCCTTGGCAACTTAATTAATTTTCAAACCTCTTTGATATTGAAGTCAGAGTCTCCGAAATCTTCTAGAAGATTTTTAAAACTGATAAATGCCGTACATTTCTACATATGATCTTTCTCAACCTATTTCAGGTTGCTGCATCGAAAAATGTACGTATGTGGCTAACAAAAGTGCGTAAAATCAAATCTATTTATCATACATTGAATTTGTTCAATTTGGATGTCACCCAGAAATGTCTGATTGCTGAATGTTGGTGTCCGGTAGCTGATTTAAATCGCATCCAACTGGCACTCAAAAGGGGAACGGTTGGTTAAGTCACTTTGTTTATATGTTTTCCTGTTTATATATGTGTTCCATTAAATTCAAAGTTTTCAACAGATTAAAATTTCTAGGATACTATTTTATTTTTTTCAGTCATCATTACGTGATAGTTATGAATTTTAAAGTTTTAAATGTTTTAGTTTTAGGAAGAATCAGGAAGTACAGTACCATCAATTCTAAATCGTATGTCAGGTATAACGGAAGCACCTCCAACTTTTCATCGTGTTAACAAATTCACGCGTGGTTTCCAAAACATTGTCGATGCGTATGGCATTGCATCGTATCGAGAAATAAATCCGGGTATAATATTTTTGCAAGTTATGAAGGCATTGGTCTTCTGAAATTTCCTTGCGTGGAAAATGTGTACAGTCAAGAATTTGAAACTGTAAACTCTAAAAAATAAGTTGTGTTAAAAAATTACTTATAGCTCCATACACAATGATCACATTCCCGTTTATTTTCGCTGTTATGTTTGGTGACTGCGGCCATGGACTCATTATGCTTTTATGCGCTCTCTTTTTTATATATCGAGAAAAGCATTTAGAAGCAGCTCGAATAAATGATGAGGTTTATAATTCTTATTTTAATATGAAATCACGAGATAAAGGATTGAGAAATTAAGGAGAACTCATAGCCGGTTGCAGTTGTAAGGTCGCTTGTTAAGCGAGGCAAATATTTCCACTGCCATAGAGCGTTTTTTTTTTTTCGCCAAATTTTCGTTTCGTGAAAATGTATGAGATTAGTAATGCTTATTTTAAGTAACTTGCAGATTTTCCAAACATTTTTTAACGGTCGTTATGTGATATTTCTGATGGGTTGCTTTTCTGTATACACGGGATTCATCTATAACGATGCATACAGCAAATCATTCAATTTATTCGGAAGTTCATGGAGAAATATCTACGCGGATTTAAGTAAATATGAGTCTGAGAAGGAACTTATGCTTACACCACAGTGGGCTTATTACAATTTGGTTGGACATCTTTGGATATTCTCCTCGTTTTTTCTTGACTCCTTTTTAGATTCAATCGTAGTTTACATAGTCACTTTCTTTGGTAATCCTATTGCGTTACTGCAACTTATTTATCTATTTCAGTCAATTGGCCCTTATCCTATAGGTGTTGATCCAATTTGGAATCTTGCGGAGAGCAACAAATTGAATTTTTTAAACTCGATGAAAATGAAAATGTCTATCATAATTGGTGTTGCGCAAATGACATTTGGTGTCATGTTAAGTTATGAGAATTACAAGTAAGTTTATGATTAAAATAACTTTTTTATGGAGGATGACTGTTCAAATTTCCTGTTTCTTATGGCTTAAAAAGCTTTTGAGGCGTCTCTTGCTTTCTCCACTCTCCTTGTAAGAATCTAGGATACCGTGGATGTACTGAATCAGGAACTGTTGCAAACCCATTTCGACTTTCTTTACAAGACTCTCAAAATAGAAGTGATCTGACTTGCTATTAATTGTAGATACTTTGGTTCTCGTCTAGATATCCTATATATGTTTATCCCACAAATGCTATTCCTTGGCTGTATTTTCATTTACCTTTGTTTAGAAATTCTCTTCAAATGGCTGCTTTTCTCTGCTAAGGTAAGCATTCAGTTTTTTAGAATTCAAACGAACTTAATAACACAGCACATGTTGCTGGGCTAATAAAATTAAAAAAGTAAAAGAAAATTGTAAAACTTGTGAGAATTGAGATACTTGATATCCTCTTCGATTGCTTACTTATTAAAACTTGCTTTGAAATCATTGCCTAGGAACTGTCCGTTTCAAATGAAGTAATGGAGATAGCAATTATTAGATTTAATGTTTGCACCCGTCGTTGTTTCTAATTATATGCATTAAAAAAATTGGTAGGTTATATATAATGCTCCAGTTGTTGTTTGGATATGTAATTTTTTTTATATGCCGATATCTGCAAAAATTATTCCAGACTTCCGTAATCCCAATATGCCATACCAGCTTTTGTTTTTACGATTTCTTTTGTATGCGATTATTGCAGAGTGGTTATGTTTTGGGTTATGAATATCCATCGTCTAATTGTGCCCCGTCGTTGTTGATAGGGTTTATTAGCATGTTTATGATGAAGTATCGCCCATCTGGATTTCTTGATCCTGAAGGAAATGTGTATCCGCAGTGTTATCTGAATCTTTGGTATCCGGGTCAGGTTAGCTTTCTGATTTTTTTATCCACTTAAATAAATTATTTTGAACGTTCATTTTGAAATTCTCTTCTAAATATAAGAGTTGATTAGATATGTCAAATAAAGAAAAGTTCTGTACAGTGTACGTTGTAACATTTATTTACTTATTTTTTATTTCTAGAATATCGTAGCAAACTTTTGAAGACTTGATTAACTTGTTTTCTATATAGTTGCAATTTCAATAGTTTTAGTCATTTTTTGAAACATTATTTGTGCTTATTGCGGCAGTGTGCATCCCGATTATGTTATTTGGTAAGCCGTATATGCAGTGGAAGGAGTTCAAAGAGCGAGCCACCTTAGGAAGTTCTAACTTGGTTTGAAAATTTCTATATTGAACATATCTAAACGCAAGTACTATCTGGATCGGCTAAAAGTTTTGTGTGTCAGTGCTTCGAAATGATTATTTTTTAGGGTTGGAATTAAAATCCAAAAAAACTTTGAGAACGCTTTTAACTATGTATTCGGTAGAATTCAAAACTTTTAACTATGTATTCGGTAGAACTTGCTTTTTACCTCGTTTAGACTAGTAATTGTTATTGTTGGTACTCAAATTTAGTAACATAGGCTTATATTTTTGCTGCATATGTTTTTAAAGTGTAATCGAAATGACCCTAGAATTGGCCCAGTGGTGGCAATGATTCAATTGCCGCTTATATGACTGCAAAATTGTACGCATTGTAATTAGTTATATTTCCTGTAACATAGCAGCCAGTCCATCAATCGATCATTGGTTGATCATTTTTAAAGAAAAATCGCTTCCTTTTTCTTTAATTAGAATTTCAAATTTCTGGTGAATTAATTCAAATTTCAAAATTCTTGGTGCAGTGGGAAACTGAACATTGGAGCGCGTTCAGTTACATAGAGTTGAGCGGCACTTGGATCGTTTTCAGCACTACAGTACTACACGAAATTATTTTTTATCATTTTGTGGTCAAATGGAGGGAAGCATAATTAATATTCTGGACATTCATAATATAGAACACATTATCCTCATTGTAAATTTTTAATCGCTATACTCGTTTGTTTCCGTCCTTCGGCTAATATTTCTGAACTGCTTATTCTGTCTTGTTTATCTTCATAGAATTTTTAGAACTTTATTACATTCTTTATTTGTTTAGAGTGTTCGTGCTGAATCGAATGGTGATGATGCACACATAATCCACAATGATTTATCGAGATCATCAACCACGCATATTGAGGAAAAAGTGCGTTCATGCTTAGTTTTACTTTTTAAAAGGATATAGGATATATTCAGAAAAGGGCATTACTTTGTGTTTTAGTTCGATTTTGCTGATGTTATGATTTATCAAGCTATTCATACTATTGAATTTGCTCTGGGTTGCATATCGCACACTGCTTCATATCTTCGCCTTTGGGCACTTTCGCTTGCTCATGCTCGTAAGTTATGAATTATCTATTGATTATCCTTTCTTTGTATGTTAAGCTCATATTTTGTTAGAAATTGCATTTTAGCAAATGTTTTAGAAAAATGCACATTTTAGCAGTCTTCGAGAAGAAAGGTAGTGAGTATTTTAAAAGGTCCAAGGAGGATAAGTGGTAGTGAATTTTTAGTGTGAGTATTTATTATCTGCAAAAGATGGGATTTGAATTTTAATTATTGACAAATAATCTTGCTAATATATTAGTGATGTTTTGTATCTTTAGAATTATCGGACGTATTATGGACCATGGTTTTCCGTCAGGCTTTTATGCTAAATGGTTATATGGGAGCAGTAGCGACATATGTTCTCTTTTTTCTATTTGCTTCTCTTTCATTTTCAATTTTAGTCATGATGGAGGGTCTCAGCGCTTTTCTACATGCTCTTCGTCTGCATTGGTGTGTTTTTCGTATCTTATTTTGAAATATACTTAAAACGTACTTTGCACAGCGTAATTGTTGGTCGGATGTTGCAGCTTGTGAATGTAATAATAATTTGGGTGCTATTAGTAACTAATTTTATGTAATGTCTCAGTCTATGGAAGATTATCAATTTAAGAAAGTTTGTTATTGATCTCAGTACTTCTTTCATTTTGCAGGGTTGAATTTCAAAGCAAATTCTACAAAGGACTTGGTTATGCTTTTGTTCCATTTTCATTCGATAAAATCCTAGAAGAGGCTCGTACTGCTGAGGAAAATATATAATATTTCGAAACTCCATGCTATTCTGCTTTTTATACAACTTTTATTCTTGATTTGAAAATATCTATATGATTTATTATAGTTCAGTTTCCTGTTTTCTTTTTTTATTCACCATCTTATGTAGTATAAATAATAAGCTTGAGTTCCTAAAGTCTTGCAAGAATTTTGAAACATAGTGAAAGCATTATAAAAAATTCCATTTCTATATTCGTTGAAGTTATCTAGCTGTTTTGTCACATTGATGTATAAAAATGCATTTAGTTTGCGACGAGTTGTGTTTGTCTTAGTTGTCTGTTATGTTTAGTTTGACGACATAATTGTTATAATGGTTTCTTTATAAGTTTTTTGGATTGCGATGATGTGAAGCTCTCCAGATTTTATGCTTTTTGAAAATCTCTACATATGGTGTAACTTTGATGCGATTGCGTTATGTTGTCCAATAAAGGTATTGTGTCGCGTTTTGCAGTATTGTTGTAATGTATAAATATTCGTGTTGTCAGTTATAAATAGTGCACTGCTTTGTCTACAAAAAATTTGTTGAAATAAAGATGTTGTATCATTTAAAAACACGATGTTTTAAACAAAAGTAAAATATCAGGTTAGTTTTTATTTTTAATATTTGGGTTGGGAACATCAGCTTGAATTTGTCCTCTTCGGAGTTTGATATTTTTGGACATGTCGGGTAAATTCATGAAATCGCAGTCTTCCGCAAACTCTTTGTTAGGTCTTGGTTATGTGGGTTTATTGAGGTTTCCCTAGTAGTTTGCGGTCTTACAAGATTCTAATTGTATTTGTTAATGTGATGAGAATAATCCATTGGATAAAGTATGGTTGTTTATCACTAAATGTTTTCATTCTATTTTGACTTCTGTGAACAAAGGCGGAGTTATTTAATGTTGATTTCAGAGTTCCAATAGCGCCGTTTTGTCACATGTGGATCAGATTCACAATTCCAAGAGCAATTCCAGGTAATGGGAGTGGATTCTATTAAATTTATTCCTTAAACTAATTGCAACAATTTTGCAGCCAACCTGAAAATGAATTTACGGTAAATCTTCATTTGGTACATTGTTTTCATCTTGCGATGCACGTTGGCCACGATCTTGCCTTCGGTGATAAACATGATAAGAGGTTTTCATTATGTCTGGCACATCATTTTCACCCTCATCAAATGCATGCTCTTGTGCTACTGGTATATCTTCCGGAATGATCGAATTGAAAGCTGTAATATGATTAAGTGTAGGACTTCTTTTAAGAAGGAATGATTGATTCTAAAATTTGCTACAGGATATATGTCATATTTGATTAATTAATGTGAGTAATTTTGTAATTTTTCACGCCTTTCTAATCAGGAAGTCCAATCGAATAGGGCCTTTAATTTCGGATTCTAATGAATCCATCAAAATTGCGAATGCATTATCCGATTTTATTGTTAGGGTTGTGTATTTACAATCGTAGGTAATCGTACGCCGAGTGATCAATATGGGTTTTCAAATTCATATACAAGAGTTAACTGTTTCATCATATCATTCAGAATGAGCTTTCCTTTTTCATTGCTTCATATTTAGATGCAATTTCCCTAACGTTCTTTTACATTGGGACAGGAAATTTCTAATGAGCTGAAAATGTTGCAGCATGAAAAACTTGGCATAAATTAAAACGATAAAAAGACTTACGTTTTACATCAATCGGACTAACTGATTTTGGGGAAGATGTAGAAGATTTTTTCATCGATTCCGATTCTTCTTGTGTTGCACCTTCTGATACAACTTCCCAATCATATGGTTCGTTGAACAAATATCGTTTCCTTATCATTGGTGATACCATCTGGTAAATTTTTATTTGTTGTGATGATTTCTATCCCAAAGCTTGAAATATAAATTGAATTTGATGTTGATTTCAGTTGACTTTTGCCAGTTTTCGTCAAAGTTCAGAATTCTATCATACATCAGTACCAGTTTGTACATGTAATGATAATCGGGCCTATCCGGGTAGCGTAGTTTACGGAGATGTGCTAAGATTCGTTCATAAAACTCCATCTTTCCGTTTGATAGAAGTTGTTTGTCGGGAATAGATTCTTTAAGGTACAGAATACGATCTTCACGTGTCGCTTTACTCCATGGCAGATAATTGCAGCGTAATTCAATTAACATATACATCAATGACCAAAGGTCATCAACTCGTCCCTAAAGCAAAGATGAGGCTTTTTATTCATCTACTTTTTTATACTATTATTTATTTTTTCATATGTATGAACTAAATTGTATCTTCTATTTTCATTTATAATTTGTTACCGATGGGGCAATGATTCAAGTGTCGCTCATATGACTGCAAAATTGTACACATTGTGTTAAGTTTACATATGTTCGAGAATGTGACATTTAAAATTTGTAACATTCAGCGAATTGATCTGTTTTTGAGTACAGCTACTCTGTTATTTAAAAGTTCTTTTTAATTTTCACTTAATTTTTCAAACCTGTTCATTCCGTTTATGAGTATTTACTGAACAATAACGCAATGTTCCACGAAGTAAAACCTGAAAAACAATTTCAAAAAAATTTCTCACACTTATTTACTCATAAAGAGAGGGTGAAAAGAGCATTTTCTTCCTCATATCAATGTTAAAGGATTGATATTAGAAGATGTTTTTTCCTAAAAAACAAGCCTGTTCAAAAGTTTCAAATTGTTTAGGGTTTTTTAAATTTAAGAGTGAACCCGTTTTCTCGGTTGTCTGATAAACCATTGCTTATTACTGTAAATGGCATATTTTCGAACCATCCCATAGTCAAGCAAATACATAATGTGCCGCACACTAGCAGATGGTGATATTGCTATATTACTAGGCTTTATATCGCGGTGTACAAAGCCAATTTCATGTAACTGTAATATTTAAACTTACAGATCCATCTCGGAAATGTTTAGATGTTAAAAGATCGATTAGAGCCTTCGAAAGTACGAAAACAATTCTCCTGAGAGGTCATGGAATTTTTTTTACGCTTTCAGTCTTTTCAATAAGAAATATTTTTAGTTTTAAATATAATTTTATACCTGTTTAATAGCATACAAGCTTAGGACAGCGATACGAAGTGTGGTACTTTCGCTGAATGTCACCAAATTTTTCATGTTTTTCACGGTAAGCAAATCCGGACCGCATAATGTCATTACCATGTAACTTAAGTTATTTCAATTGAATCAATCTCTTAGCTTGAGTTGAGTTATGAAGAATCTTTCCATATTTATAATTTTGTAAGTCACAAGATAATTAAAAAAATTTTTCATCCGATTTTCATCAAATAAATAATGAATACTTGTTTTGTAAACAATTTCGGATATAACTTCCTAACCTATATGTTTCTCTTTTACCAGAATACAACAGACGCACGGTATATTTACGACTTTGTAGTTGCTTTAATACTTCAACTTCCAGTTTTAAAATACTATCTGTTGCAGAATTTGATTCAGCCTGCACGAAAAAAAAAGTTATCGTTGAAGCTTCCAGTAATTAGGGAATTGAAATTCGAAAAGTAAGTTAACGAAGACGTACACTTCTCCCAAGTTTTCTTTAACTAATCTTAAAGAAAGTGAAAGTAAGAAAAAGTAATAGCCACCAATTTATAATGTACTGATTTATTGGAATTTGATTTGAACGAAAATTTGGCTGAAAACTTTTTACTTACTTTGAGTGCTCCACTGATTAGAGGATTTGTTACGCTTTGTACCTCATAAACTGCCCCATAAGCACCAGTCCCTAAAATTCTTCTTACCAGCCATCGTGCTCCAACTATCTTAAAATTCAAATTTCGGATTTCATTTTCTCCTATCTATGCTTCCAGACGTAACCGAACGAGGGAAAGGAAAATCATAAGGTTATCATCTAAATTCATTTTCACAATGACTGACTAAAACAAACATTTACTTTGCCATTCGGAAATTGTACAAGTTTGGATTCATTTTCCTCATTAAAAATTTTCATTTTTTCTGTTGAACAGCGCCACTCTGCGAGCTAATAAAAATAAGAAACTGACTGCTGCCATTTCTTCCATCTCGTTTATTAATTTCTCATGACATGCAGATTTCGTCAAATGATAAGTGGAAATTAGTATCATTTATGCAATCTTCCATAATACGCTTTAGTAGACTATATATGTTTTGATCTTCATAAAGACAATTCTATTCTAAAGTAGGATAATTCCTTCAATGCTGTTGTCTCGTAACCACACCAAAAATTTAGTTCCAGTATTTCCAGCGAAAAAAGATAAAGAAACTCAGCGAGTCAAATTTTTTTTTCCAGCTAATTACATTAAATTGTACATTCTGACAACTCGCTAAATTATATATATATATATATATATATATATCAATGTTATGATACTTATTTTTTATAGTTTACTAGCGATGGCAGTTGACGTTAAAATATTTATGAAATGAAATGAGGCTACATAATTTTAAAAGCATGCTAGTTATAGTAATTTAAAGAGGATCAGGTATTTTCTTCACCGAAGTAATGACACGTTTCAGCTTCAGTGCAATTTCCATGAAATGTCCAACCTGATATCGACCATACTGCAACTGTCCATTATATTTTCCTGCCAAGGTTTCATTGCTTTTCGTTATCTAAATAGACAGTAGTTCCATGCAGGCTTTTAATCAGAAAAAGTTATCAGAGTTGAACAACCTGATCAGCAAGTAAGGAAAGTGCCATTCTCTTGGCGTACGGCAACGCTCCATATGGCGCACTGAACACTGATATCAATGCTTTGAGACTTTCTTCAATAATAAGTTCGTTGTTGTTCTTCTGGAATATGTTTTCATTCCAAATGGAAAAATTTTTTTCGCACACATTTAAAATGCAAAGATCGTTTAATGAAGCAATCAGCAAACTAAACATCGAAGATATTTTGGTACCAATAAGTTACGCCATAACAGTAAACATTAGGTTACTTCATATACTTATGATGTAGATGAAGCGAAAGAAAAATTTAACTTAACAAGTGAACTTGTACTCATTGATTTTTAAATTGAAAGAACTGCAAGAACAAAGAAAAACAGACCTCTTCGATTTGAAGAAGATTTTTAACAATTAATTTCTGCCACTGCATAAAAATATTGATTAGTTGTTCACGGTCAATCAGAAGCGACACAACACGACCCACTCGAGCGAAGGCATCAAATTTCGGTAAAATTACTTCACCCGTATATAAATAAATGAGCAACTGAAGCAGTTTTTGATTTGACTTACGAATTAATAAAATTTAACATTTTAAATCTCAAAAAATGATGAGCTATAATTTCGAAATAGACCAACAAATTTCATGTCATCATCCGTTAGATATGGAAAAATGATGCGATCTTCAGCATCAACCACAAGTAATTGATCAGTTGGAAGCGAACATTTCTTTTCTAGAATACTTTCTAGCATGAATGACCGCTGTTTAAAAATGCTCTGATGGACATGGTATGACGTTGCATCATTGTTCGCACCACTTCCTTCAAATATTACAACTTATTAATATTTGCTAATGAATCAATCCAAAACAGATAATTAACTCATTACCAATCAAATATAACACTTCATTTATCCATTATTTCATATCTTCAACTTGTGCTTTATGAAATCTAGAAATATCACATCTAAATCTATTGATATTGGTATTCTTACTTACCTCTTGTAAAAATGAAATCTGAATCGCGACTCGGCTCACATGCCAAAACTGTTTCTAGCAAATCATAATTTTCAGGATTCATTGATATCCTAATAATTAAATAGTTTCAATTAATTAAAAGTCGCATTTAATCAGAGAATCTTCTTCACCTGCCTTCCCGAACATTTTACTTTTCTTTTATTTCTTCACTTCCCTCAATTTATAATTAGAAAGATTTTGATCTTTTGAAGCTTGTCTTAATGCAGAAGAACAGTCTGAACAGATGTGAAGCAATTTGCAACAGTTTACATTTTTTTTAAATTTTATAAAAGGCAATAAAATAATTTTCAACAGTAGAAAGAATATACTCTATTGGTGGTACAGCGGGAAATTTAATAAGTTCTTCGATATTGAAGTAATTCTTATTGATATTCATCGAAATATGCAAAATAATAAATTCATGATTCTCAATCACTTCTTGTAAAATTAATCGATTTATCAAATTACAGCAGATGAAACCAGCACCACGATGAATCTCAATCAGTTCTTCTAAAGTTCAATTATTTTCGACATTTCAGAATTTCGTTTCTTCATTTTTATTATTAACAATAAAATATTTACCTTCAGTAATTGCTTCGAAATTTTCGTTTTTCTTTACACTTAAAGTCACACGAACATTAGATGCAGGCGGTGGCTTTTGATTAATTGGAGAATTATTGCCAACCGATCCTCGTGGTGCTCTTTTTTTCGGATTTGCTGTAGGCCCAAGGCTCTTCAACAGCAACGAGAAACATTCATCTGTTGTTTATGTGAAAATCAATTAACCGAGAAATGTATTACAATAATTTTATCTCTGGTCAGAAAGACTTTGACATAATTAGTTTTACAACTGGAAAGCTTTTCGAAAATCTTAACTTGAACTGTTATATTTCAGAATCCATTCTACTTACGTGAAATAGCAGACCGAAGGATTTTAGAAAATGATTGTTTCAAACACGACTAGACGTATATTTTATTACAGCAAGGAATTTATACCTTCTTCAAGCGTTAATTTGTAGCCATAATTCCACCAGACATGTCGATGGTAGACAATCATTGGGACGAAAGATTGCAGTGAGTTGCCTACTTCAGCTACAGCCTACATAAAAAATTTTTCAAATTCTCACTTAATTTTTATAAATTAGTTAGTCTATGTGCTATTTCTTTCCCACCTGTATGCTTTTTCGATGAATTCGAAAATTATGCTGAAATTGAATATCGTTAAATTCCACATCGCCAAGATCATCTAGACCAGTGCTATTTTCGAAATAATTTGGAAGAATATCTGGAAATGTTAAAAATAAAATCTAATGATAGTTTTATATAAATTTTACATAATGTTTGCTTAATATTTAAGCTTACAAACACAATTGCTGTAGCAAGTACGAAATTACTGGAAGAAATAGATTCGGGAATAAACTTACCATCATCATGATGAACATGCAACCATGATTTTTCTTCATTGTAGTATGCGACATATCTGTCAATCTAAACAGGTAGAGAACAAAACTTTCATCGTTATTTAAAACACCAAAAATATTTGGAGATAAGAATAGTTGTGATTTTACTTATAGTCAAGCAAAATTACGCATTTTTCAATTTCATTGTAGTTTCTAAGAAATTTGAACATAATATATTCATGAGTTTTAGTGCTTTGTACACTGTCAAAGAAAATGATACTTCCACATTCGCAGTATTGAATTCTTCGCTTTAAATATATGTGATAACTTCATGGTAAGAGAAGACTAAAGAAGACTTGCATTTTTAAAATAACTCTAAGAGGAAATGCATAAATCACAAAATTGCCTGCTGACACAGGCCTTTGTTGTTGACCATTTTGTTTTTAGAATATACTACTCTCAAAACAAAGTAGCTTAAAAGACATCATGATTTATTCCAGAATTAATTCCAGCATCTAACCTATCTAACTTTAAAATGAGTTTTCAGACACTTAAATAATGCTTAAATTTAAAATCTTCGCGAAAAATACCTTTCTTGTTTGTTTCATCATAAGATTTCTACAACTCACCACGCGTCAAAATAAGACGCATTTGTTTGAAGCTAAAACAAGTGAAAATTTGGATATTTATAGACATTTGAATTTTTGACAGCCATCTACATTTTTTGCAAAATTTCAAACTCTTTAGAGTAGTTTAAATTGCATAATTTGAATTTCTCAGCTATGCAAATTTTTAATCCATGTAAATTTGCTTAGTTTTTGAAACGCCATTTTGTCGTAATATCAGAGAAAAAAAGAAAACTGCATAATACACTAAACAATCCTTGAAATGAGACGAACTTTTAATTAAAAAATTTGTAATATAGGGGAAGAAAGTTATGAAAGAAACCTTATACAAGCGGACAGATGACTGCATGAAGGACAATAAATTCACGGTTAAACAGTGAATCAAAATGTATTGCAAAACATATGTAATTCTAGCATGAAAACAAATAATGTTTAAAAGCAGCGATGACGTTTAAAAGATCAATTCAAAATATCTATGATTTCTGACGGTTCGTGAAGTAAACAAATGCGTGAATTTGTTAGAAAAAAAATGTTTTTATTTTTTCGTTGGAAAAAATGACATCAAAACTATGCAAATATATTAGAAGTTGTTAAAAATGCGATCAAATGAGTGAAATTTTATTGCAAGTTTTCACTACGTACATAAGGCGGTTGGAGGCTTAAACTTTTCTCTCTTGCTTTGAGGAAATCCCTGGTTACTAACCGAAATTAAAAGATTGTTCAACCAACAAATTTATCCAATTGAAGTATCCTTGCTTCTCCAAGGCTGACAATAAACTTCAGTTTCCGAAACTTATCAACCAGACGTAACTTTTGGTATTCCTTTGAACTGCTTATTGATATAGAAGGCATATCTAAAAGGAAAAGAATATATCGGAAAGATGGTCGATAAAACAATACTCATTGCAATGCTCGCTCATCAAACCTTCTCTTTGGCTGCCATTACAACTTTTATTCTTATCGCTGTTATACAATGCGTCAAAAAAAAGTTTTTTTTTTTTCTATATCCACTGATAAGTTAAGTTAGGAATAGAGATTTTTATTTGAAGTGGTTAGAAGAAATAATTATTGCATCCCACTAGTATCAATTTATGATAATAAACGATTCATTTGACTTCATCAAAAATTAATTACAAAATGCATTGCTGTAGCACTGCACATCATACCTCCGAAGTTTAATTGTAAACATCTAATTACGTCCTAATAATTAAATTAGGTATAGCGATTTTCAATCAATGAAATTTCAAAAGAGGGTTAAAAGTTGTATCATTGCCGAGAACTGTTTTCTGATGATCTAAATATGGTCAAAAATTTTCAGGAAAAAAAAAAAATTCACTGAATTTAGAGTTAACAACGCAGCAATTCCTAGTGGACAGCCACAAGCAGTACCAGGAATTTTACCGCCAATGGATGAACAGAAGACTCAATCTGTAATCGAAGAAGGCGAGGACGAAAAAAAGAAAGAAGGAGAAGAGAAGAAAGAATCTGCAAAGGAAGTTAGTCATTTGAACTCAATGTGAAATTCAATACGAACATATTACATAAGGTGTGTGGAATATTTCATCTTCTAATGCCAAAGAAGTTTGCATTAATTCGAGCTTTACTCTCTCATTCAAAACATTTTTATAATATATGGAAGCATTAGATGTATGAGATTTTAGAAGAATTGAAAGTATCCAAATATTTGATCGTTACTGACAGTTTGAAATTTAAGACTGAAGAAAAAAGAAAATCGAAGAAAGAGAATTCGAAAAAAGAAAGCTGGAAGAAAGAGGTTTCAAAGAAGGAGTCCAAAAAAGAAGCAAGGAATACAGCGATGGTTAGTATCAGTGCATTTAAATTCAAAGTTCATCGAAGAATTAACTTAACTTTGAATGCCAAAGTAATCACATATATTTTACATCTGTTTGAATTAAATAACAGCGAAATGCAGAAAGAAACAATTTTAAATAGTGGCGATGATTCAGATGAACACGTGGAATCACGTGAGACAGATGTCACCTGCGACATATCAGTGTTGTGCAATTGATGTATTACTGATAAGCTATGACATTTCAGACCCAACAAAGTGACCACAAAATTTTAAATGAGATGAAAGTGATGGTAACACAAGAAGTGCCAGTAAATGAGGAAAAAGAGGAAGGGAAAAAAGATGAAGTGAAGAAAGAGGGTTTTGGAAAAGAAAAGAGGGAAGAAAAAAAAGAGGAAGATGAGAAAAAAGAGGAAAAGGAGAAAGAAGACAGAAAGGACGAAGAGAAGGAGGAAAAGAAGGAAGAAGAAGATAAAAAGGAAGTTAAGTCGGATAAAAAAGAGAGTGACACGGTGTGTAGTTTATTTGCATATGTATATGTATATGTATCTGTGCGTAGTTCAATATATCAAATTATAGCTCTGTTCAAAGATATTTCAGTTGGAGAAAATATGAGAAAGTGATTTAAGATAGTTCCGGAAGTGACGGAAATTTAGTCAGACTATACTAAAAAGTTGCAAAAATAAGCTTTCAGACCTAACGGATTTGTCTTGAACCTATTGCTTTATTTGTTTTTCTTTTTAATTGAATGATTAAAGAAAAAATGAAATTCTTCAGGAAAAGAAAGAAGAGGGAGGTGAGGGTGAAAGTGAAACGAAGAAGTGATATAAATTGAAGTGAACGAAGATACCGTACTGATTTCATTGCCATTTCTCATTCTTCCATCTAAAGAATCATGGACATATTGAAGATATCAAAAATGATATTCATTTTGCAAAATGCAATTCAGATGCAAATTTTGTAGTATAAATTTGACATGTATAACAGTGATAATAGAACGGAAATGCTCGGGAAACCAAGAGAAACTAGAGCCACAAAATTTTGTTGATTAATACAGGTTACGAGTCAAAGTAATTGGTACACGTTACGTTAACATGCCATGCGTAAAGCGAATCAAGCTATCATGGAGTATACGGAAAAAGTGTCTTTATGTGTATGCTTTGTTGTTATCATCATTGTCTGCCAGTAAAAATGGTAACTGTTATCAGTTCAGCCGAATATTCAGCAGAAACTGCAATGATTAACATCGGTTGTACAGTATATAAAATGATCAGTTTGGTAAAGTTAGTGTTATTTCTCTAGTTATATCTGCGCTTTGTGCGGTAGAATCACTTAAATCATTAAGCTTTTAAGGTTTACACATTATTGCTAAATATCGTATTGAATAATACAATTACGTATAGAAAACGTTACCGATACTGAAAGAAAAATGGGCAATCAGGTATCTAGGCCTGATAGGAAAGGAGTAGCGATGCCACAACATGCCCTAATGAAAATTGCTCGCAAACCTCAACGAGCTCAAGATACAGCCAATAAGTTACCACATGGTTAGAATGATAATCCAGTTTTACTTTGTACTCCCATTAAAAATTCTTCATTAAACAGTATCGATGATATGATCCATTATCAATATCGGGAGCGAGTTAATTAGCATTTATTCTTGTTTGATATGTTTTTGCTTAATTTCTCAATTTCTTAAATTTGCTACCATAGCATCTGCCGTAGTAAATCAGTTTAGAAGCAGTAAAATTTCTTTTATAAAGCAACTAAAAACAGTGCAACTGGAATGTATTACTTCAGCGATACCACGAAGACATTGCTATCTAAAATTATTACGAATGAGTCGTATAAAAGACTATTTATTGTTGGAAAAAGAATTTATTCAACGTCAAGGGAAAAGTGGATCAAACAGTGAACAACAGAAGAAAGAACGCAAAACTATAAATGCATTACGTGGCTCACCGATTGCACTTGCTCGAATTCATGAGCTTTTCCTGGATGAAAAGGTTCAGAAAGAAATTGAAATAAGGAAGGGTACATCTAGAAATAATTGAGGAAAAAGATGGAACATGGAAAATTCTGCAGAAATAAATGAACTATCCTATCCCAGTACTTGTCACAATCACACGCTGTATCAATCCTTCCATTATCACTTAACTAACGTTAAAGTGATATTAACATGGATAATAGAAAAACAGATGGCTATAACTGAATATTCCAATGGTCTCAGTAAACGAACAGAATGCTTAATTTCTGATTTTTTTTTTTTAAATTTGGTTAAAATTGTGCGAAATGTTCAAGCAGTTTCTCATTATTACAGCATGCTGTAGTGGTTATTGAAGGTAACAAACGAGAGTGGTATATACCAGTATTGTCAATTGTTGACAAGGATTTGATCCGGATTGGTGCTTTGGTTATGGTAAAAGCTCAAGGATCTCTGAAGAATGTTCCCATTGCAGTGGTTGGGGTATTGCACGATAGCATTGATGCATCTAACTCGATCATCAATAAACTTGAAAAAGCACCCAAAGAATCTTTCGATGCTAGTTTTAAATTTAAGTTTAAAGTCTGTAATAGCAGAAATTTTCAAAATTTATTTATTGATTTACAGTCAGATTGCGAAACAACTCTGTCTGTTAAAGTATAACTTGAAAAAAAAGTCCTGAAAAACTCATCAAAAGGATTTTTGTTCTCGCTACTTTCATTCCTTATTACATGATTATTATTCGATCTTAATTATTCTGACGAATTTAGGATATTGGAGGACTGGAAGAGCAGATTCAGGAAATTAAAGAAACTGTTGAACTACCGCTTGTTCATCCGGAATATTATGAAGAAATGGGCATTACACCCCCAAAAGGTGTCATTTTGTACGGCGAGCCTGGAACAGGTCATTTCCATCACTAATATATTTTGGAAAAAATAAAATGCTTTCTGAAAAATGAAATTTATGATGTAGCTTAGCGTTCGGAAAGTGTATAATAAAAAAAACTCTTCATAATGCTTTTGGTAACAAATACTGATCATAAAAATCTCGGAAATGGTTTTTCACTATTTGTAAACGCATTGAATGATAAAACGATGGATTCGATAATCGTGTGTCAAATCATTCTAAGATTAAATTCCTAATCAGATCAGAAGATCTCGAAAAGTGGTTATCCTTTTTTAGGGAAAACTTTATTAGCTAAAGCGGTAGCACACAGTACATCGGCAACATTTATCCGAGTTACCGGTGCTGATCTGATTCAGAAAAACAGTGGTGATGGCTCCAAATTAGTACGGCAAGTCAATTAGTTCACAAAAAAATTAAAAAAAAAATCTTAGATACATTAGAAGCCTCATAATAGTATTCTTTTAGAGAACTATTTCGGATAGCTAGGGAATCAGTTCCATGCATCATATTTATCGATGAAATTGATGCAGTTGGCACGAAACGATACGATACGACTTGTGGTGGTGAGCGAGAAGTTCAGCGAACAATGCTAGAACTGTTAAATCAGCTTGATGGATTCGAAAGCCGCGGTGATGTCAAGGTAACTTGCTGGAATTGAGATTTTTGAGAAGTTACAACTGTAATTTCATATCAAGTCTTAATAAGGACGAAGAGTAGGTGAGCACTGAGTGCAGTCCAGAAGATACGAGATACTGATGCATAATCGAAATATGGCTTTCATCCATAACGGCTTTTCTAACATTTCTTCTCCCAAAGTAATTTAAGTGATCACAGACTTAACATTAGGTGCAAGATACATGAAAATAATGCTCATTATTTGTCAAAAAGAAATGACAAAAAGAAAATTTCCAATCAGGTAATAATGGCAACAAATAGGATTGATGTGTTGGATCCGGCGCTTATCCGGCCAGGCCGAATTGATCGTAAAATAGAATTACCGAAACCAAATGAAAAAACAAAGCTCAAAATTTTTCAAATACACACAGCAGGGATGAAAATTGCGACTAACGTTAGGTTCGAAAAATATGCCTCAGAATTATCACTTTCCGGAGCTGATTGTAAGGTATGCAATACTTCAGTCCAGTTGCTTGATTACATCGTTTTATCCAGCTGCTTTCATTTACGAAAATAGTTTCATACATTTTAGGCAATCTGTACAGAGGCGGGAATGCTTGCGCTTCGTGCGCAAAGAAAGTTTGTGTGTCTGGAAGATTTCGATAAAGCTATGGAACGAGTTATTATGCAGAAGAAAAGTGAAGCACCAGAGGAATTTTTCATGTGATTTTACCAAGTGTTCTTCAATTCACTACCAATTATAGGAAAAAATAAAAACCTTTAAATCATTAATTTTATCCCACTGAGGATGAATATTTCCCGCCTAATCATTTCTTCAGGCTTGAAATGATTTAAATTTCGATATAGATGACCTGGATAAAGGAAAATATCAGTTAACAGATATAGAAGTTTGTCTTATGATATTACTTTATATAACACATTAGATTGCAGCACCTGAAAATAGTACGCAATTTCGAGTTCTCGAGTAATATATCATTTGATATATGTCTAAGTCATTTACTTCACAAAGAAATAGTCCCATGATCACCCTTATGCACATAGTGCATTCAAGAAAGTGCTAACTTACCGGAATTCCATGTGTAGTCTACTCAAGATACAAAATCACCAGTAAACGAGTGTCATTAGCGGCACAATAATTTATATACATTAATAATAAAAGCTAATGTTAAGGAGCACAGTGAAGATTAAGTATCATGTGTTATCGTTGGTCGCTATGTTATGAATATCGCTAATGAGAGTTGTGAACCCGTAACGCTTATCACTAACTGTGCCAACTGCCATTTTATCTTCGAAATGGAAATGTGTTGCTCATAAAGATATCTCTCTACTTACACCAACAACTTAAACAACAAACAATCAATCTAAACTGAAATGGAATCGTAATTAATCTGAATCAGAAATTGTACTAGTGCGCCTGTTGAATTCATCTGTTACAACACATGAATTTTTATCCTTTCTCCCCTCCATCACAGCTATCGATCAACGATGAAGACGCGGAATTCGTACATCGATCCGCTAAGCACGGACATATCCGCCCCACAGGTATTTGCCGTCCGTTTCATCAAAGTAACACATGATGTTTGATTCTCCTGACTGTGCTACTTTGTTGTTGGCTCACTAGCATCGTCTCTCTCCTTCTTTCCCCTCTCTCTCTACTGGTGGGATCGACCTCTTTCATTATATCTGTGGGAAGAGGTGATACTGTGCTGTAGGGGGCGTCCTTTCTTCGTTGTATAATTGATTTCTTTCTATCGATAACAATTATTTCTCTCGAATCATCGCTTAAAAATGTTTGACTCGAGCACATAGTTTGTTTGCAGTCAAGCTAGCAAGCAGCTCATATCATTAAACAGTAATTTATCTCTGAATCATTCACCCTAATGTTCACTGAACTAGAAGATGTGTATTTTTATTGAACTTGCAAGTCTCACATCTCATTCTACTTAACATACCTTTGTTGCTTTTTAATTTTTATATAAATTCATTTAAAGACTGATCGCATTTCTATTTCAGCTGTAACAATGACAGCTATTGGAAGAATATCATCAGTCTTGGAACCATTAACGAGGAATTTGCAAATGTGCAGTCATCGTTTAACTAGTTCTGCACCTAAAGTAAAATTTTTGCATTGTCAGTGAGTAAAAAGTGGAGAGCGAGAATATTAAAAGTTATTTGAAAAATTGGAAATTTTGATAGAAACTCACTTTACAGATTGCTTTACTGGGTGCTGCTGGTGGTATTGGACAACCACTTGGATTGCTGCTAAAAATGAATAAACATGTAGCAAAATTAGCACTGTACGATATCAAGGATACGCCCGGTGTGGCCGCCGATCTATCACATATCGATACTAGAGCTCACGTACTTCTTTCATATAATTACCAGATATCAAGTAATTTCGCGTTTTTTTTTTTTCAAGTTTCTATTATTGGTCACGTTTTCTACAATTGCTATGGCTCCTCAAAGTTTAAATTCTAGGTCACGGGACACACTAGTCCAAATGAACTAGATGAAGCTTTACAAGATGCTGATATTGTAGTGATACCTGCTGGTCTACCACGAAAACCAGGTCTTCAATCTTGACTTTTCTTTTTTTGGAAATTTTCGGGAGCAGAAATTATGTATTACGTTAATTTATTCCGCTTTTCTTTGTCAGTTTTGATAAAATATAACATTATTCTGTAAAAAGTTAAAACCTTCTACTTTTAGGCATGACTCGTGACGATTTATTTAACACCAATGCTAGCATTGTACGAGACTTAAGTGAAGCAGCCGCAAAAAATTGTCCAAAAGCTTTCGTTGCAATCATTACAAATCCTGTTAATTCAACAGTTCCAATAGCTTGTGAAATTTTCAAAAAACATGGCGTCTTTGATCCGCGACGTATATTTGGTGTCACAACACTCGATGTTGTGCGATCAGCAGCATTTGTTGCTGGAGCCAAAGTATTTTCCAAGTTTTGTTGCAAACTTCAAGAAATATATGTGTGATATGGTGATTTTTTTCAACATACTGTCAAGTAACACTGCTATTTTATATCTAATTTTCTTTTAGAACCTAGATGCTGAGGAAACAGACATACCCGTGATTGGTGGCCATTCTGGGATTACCATCATTCCGCTTCTTTCGCAAGCGAAACCATTCTGTAAGTTTTCGAATGATGAAGTGAAGAAACTGACAGAACGAATCCAGAATGCTGGAACGGAAGTTGTGAAAGCAAAGGCTGGAGCTGTAAGTTGTAGATTCTCTTTTAGTTAGAACTGAGTGAAACGAATTTCCGACGGTCTTAATTAAAGAGTATGTCATCATTCATCTTCATTTCCTTTATCTACTCTATTCTTTACTTAATTCATTTTCATTTTTTTCTTTACTCTATTACTTAATTCCACGTGAATTTTTGGTATTGCTAATATTAATTTCTGATTGAATAAAAATCGACTTATGGAAAAATATTACATTTTATGAAATTTATGTCCTGGGATATGTGCCGTTAGAGTTATTTATTAGAAAGGTTTAGGGTTCGGCTACGCTTTCAATGGCTCTGGCAGCTTCAAAATTTGTGGAAAGTTTACTGAGAGGTCTTAGAGGTGAAAAATCCATTCAGTGTGCATATGTTGCTTCGGATGCCTGCAGTGGCGTGGACTATTTTGCAACACCATTGGAATTTGGTGTAAGTTTTTTCGTATTACATAAGTTTAAAAATTTCTTTCTCTGAAGGGAACTGTTTTTTCGGTTTATTTGTTTGTTTATTTCATTTATTTGACGCGTTTTAGTGGTTTTTTATTTAATTCCATAAATTTAGTAGTATTTCTCGCTTACTATTGATGATGACTAATATAGAACTTTAATTTCTTCAGAAAAACGGAGTTGAGAAAGTTCTTGGAATGGGCAAGCTTAGTACATACGAACAAAGCCTTGTTGCTGCTGCCGTTCCGGAATTGAAGAAAAATATTTCCAAGGGTTTGAAATTTGTCAGTGGCTAAATTTTGTTGTTATATAAAGATTCTCTGTTGATTACTGAACCTGCTGTTAAGCTATATTTACTTATCACATTTTCTTCATTTCTAGTTTATTGATATTTCTATTTTATTTCAGTTTTAAGAAAAGAATTTTGCTCGAGTATTCTTGAGTGCTATTATTTGAAGTAATACCTTTCCTTACTTCTTTACCTTTCGAAGCTTTATTAGTATGTAAAAGCGGTCATCCTTATTTTCCTCATTATCTTTCTTACTAATTCATTCATGCTGTTTTATATAGATTTTGATAGCTATTGTTGAATGGTGGTTTGAAGTTTTTGATATAGTTTTACTATATTTTTATATACTTCTACTATTATTGTACATTTGTAATTCTCATGTATTGATATAAGTAATTACCTCGCTTTCAAACTTTCATATATAATAGGTATGTAAAAAAAGTATTGCCGTTAAGGTCCTCATCATTCAATAAAAATCTTCAGAGAGCGCTTGTGTTCCTCATGAAGTTATCGAGTCCAAGAAATATCGAATGACTATCCCTTGCTTCTCTTGCAGTGTCACGCAAGCACTATGAAATCCCTCAAATTTTCTGCTGGCATCATTTATACTCCTGAATGCCTGTGGTTTGATCACCTGACAATGTTCTCTTTTGATTAGTGTTAGAATGCTATTCACCTCTGGCAATTTTCATAGAATCACTGAGTTATGTGTTAGTCACATTTCCGTTCTACTTTGTCCATGGAGCTATTTGATTACTATTTTGATAAGACGGTTCAATAAATATGATTTTGAGAACCAACCAGACACAGTGTTGAGATCGGTTGCCTGTATTTCGAACGAGGGTACAGGAATTTAAGTGATAAGCTTATCCAGTTTTAACCGCAGTATACATTCATTATGGTCATAGACGTGTCGCTAAGTGGGGAAAGAAATAAAGATAATAAGTGATTCGAAAAAGTCTTTAGAGAAAGACAAATAAACCACAAGTTGTAGAATACATTTGATTCAAACTCTTAATAGTTGGGTTTCTACGGTTGTTGGGCTCTTTCATTTCTTTTTTAAAAATTCTCCATGTTTTCGGAGTACAGATTAACGAATGAGTACAGTTATTTTCCTACTTTAATAATTTTGATATATTTAGATACAAATTATGTTTAATCGCAGTTGTTTGATGCGATTTAAAATCGGCAGACGCATGACTTTTCCTTGTATTGAGCGGTTCTTCGGTACTTCAAGTGATGATAGTGCTAGTTCGCAAACTGAAAGCCTGCAAAGATTTGAAATATCAGGGAAAAGTGCGCCCGAAATTAGGAAGGAATCAAGAATCACAACTTCCAAAGCTACAACAGATGAGAATTTAAAACCAGAAAACATACGAAGTAATTCTTTAAAAATTTCTTGGGTTTTCATACATCATTGTACTGCGAACCAAATGTAAGTTACTTACTGAATTCATTTTCCAGAAAAATTATTGGAGCTTAAGCGAAGAAAGAACTGGAAAAAACCGAAAGTAAATGAAGTGGCAACGGAAGAAATTTTGGCAGCTATTAATTCCATAGTTAAGGACTTCCATTATAATGGCATCTCTGATGAACGAAGGTAAGCACGTGATACTTGATTAGAAAACTTGTCACATTCCTTCAAATAATAAAATTGGTGAAGGCCATAACTCAGAGATCGTGGTGTATTTTTTTAAAACATCCTTTTTTCTCGTGAATTGTTTTGAGGGAAAATATGCTTATATTGAAGGAAACATACCGTAGAAAAATAAATTTCATACGAAATTTTTTTTTTTCGCTCAGAACCAGAAATGAATTGATTGGAAAGTTGATGGAATATGAGAAGGAAAAATTTGAAGCGGCAACCAGTGCACAATACAGTGAATTGTTATCCGATAGATCTTTTGCCACTTTTCTAGAAAGTCTTAAGGATGAAACAGCTAGACCTCCACCAAGGTATATTTCTTTTCTTTTTCGAAATATGTTCCAGGACTCTAATACTGTAATAGCTCTGCCAGTCATTTTCTAGAAGCTACTGGCAAAACAGTTTTTGTTTTAGTAGGTTTGAATTTCTTGTTAAGTATTGTAAGCAAAACTTATAATTTAGTAATTTAGGGCTGTGGAAAAGCGACAAATGCGCCAAGGGCTATTACTGCTGAAGCGTGAAATATTTTATCAAGCTGTTCAGGTGACATTGTACTTTTTATTTGTTTCATTATGAATTATCCAAATCTTCTGGATTGAAATGAAGATAGCTGAATAGGTTTTAACTTATCTTAACAAAGAGTTTTGGAAATTAGGAATTTTCGGCTTTCAGTCAGCTCACAAAGTAGAGGATGCTCGTAGAATTGCCGAGTATGCAGTGAAAATAGCCGAAAAGAGGGCAGCTGGAAAACAAGAAATTCTGATGCAAAATTATACAGAAGAACAAAAGAAGAATATGCTGGAAGAAATTGAGCAGACCGAAAAAGAGAGTGCTTTTTATAATATCGCACTACAATTAGCAGGGTAACTGATTCATTTTTTAGCTTTATGGTAGTGTTTTGCAGTCGATGTTTTTTGCTGTCTTATGATGGAAAGTTATGCATAATTAAGGGAATTGATAAATGGTTGGAGCATTATGAAATTTCTTACCGTCGCACTCGTTGAAAATGAGTCTTAGAACAATGTCATTTTGAAAGCACCTTATCTATTGTTATTGATATTGTTCTAATTCGGTGACTTTGTATAAGTAATCAATAGTATTATGACTATCTGAAGGATACCTTCAGTTTTCTTATGTCAGTTTTTTAAATTTTCAAAATGCTGTTGTGATTCCTTTTCGAAGGATTGCTATAGATACAGAGAATCTATATTCTTGCTTAATTTTCTAGCAAAATGATTTATCCGGATGGTCTATTATCAGATGAACCGCATATAGCTTCTTCCAATGCTATTCATCCCGATTGTCGTGTGAAAAACATATTCAAAAATACTGAGAACAAGTTGAACATTTTCAAAATAGCGGATATACCAAAATTGAAAGATCACTCAGTGAAGCAGTGGTGTAAATGGGATAAAGATGCTGCAGCGTGTGTTTTAGTTTTGTTTAAAAATTAAAAAATGGTGTCTTTTTCTCTTCTTTTCACATAATCTGTTGTCTGTTTTCTAAAACACTTGATTTGAAATTTTCCGGCAATCAGTGATTTATATTTAGGATATGGAACTCTTCATTCGGTCCATCTAATGCCTTCGAGGAAATGATTGAGCTAACAAAACAAGGGAAAATGTGGCCTTATCCAATCGACAACGAATATCAGATTGGCGATGAGGAAAACGTAATCGTCCTTTTCGCTTTTTAAAGCATAGGAACTGTTTTGTTTTTATTTTCTGAGTGATTATCTTCAAATCAACTATTTTGGAAAATAGACTTAAAAAATTCTAGGTTGACTTTTACAACCATATATTTCTGGATAAATATCTCGCCCGGTACAGCTTACCAGAAGAAGGACCTGTCGCACAATTTATGGAGCTAGTTTGTATAGGATTATCTAAAAATCCCTATATGTCAATCAAGAAAAAACATGCTCATCTTGATTGGTAACTTTCCGTACTTTAATTGAAACTGAAAGGAAATTTTTTACTTTTTTATGACAATCGAGAAGTTTACTATAACTGTTTATTCCTTTCAGAAGTTATTTCTTCTATTTGTATATGTGGTATTTTTGTCGTGCTCCAATACCCAGTTGTGTGGGCAAGCTAACTTGTCTATTTAATAAGCTTTTTTTAACCACTAATATTTGTTTTTGCTGGGAATAAGTGCTTTGTTTAATATTACAGGTTTGCCAACTATTTCAAAGAGAAAGCAAAAGAAATTAAACGGATCCAAGAAAGTGCCGGTGTGTTAATGGAAGGTTCGATTTAAATATTTGTTTCTATTCGGAATATGCAACACTTCAAGTAACCTGGAGAAGTTGTTTTTTTTTTTTCAATTTCGGACAACAGTTTCGATATGGTTTCTTGCAATTAAGGATTCATTTAAACACTTAAAAATCTAATACCGCTTGTTTTGAAGTCCTGAAGTGTTGTCGGTGCAGTCCTTTGATTTTTTTTAAAAGTTTTCTGTTTTGTTAGTGCGTGATTCTGTTTTGTTTGGTATATATTTCGTGATGTTGGTAATCCGATAAATTCCTATTACACTTTTCTTGTAATCTTGATGCTATTTTCCCTAGCGCGCGTACCATACTTTTGGAATTTTCTTTAGTGAATTGCTGTTACTACGTGCCACTGTATAGTAGCACTTGTTTTTCGTCAGTGAATGCGACGACACTAACTGAACGTTAGTGTTGAATTAGCAATTTTAAATTCGAAAGGTTATGGAATTAACTGGTTTGTGAAAGCAAAATGTGGGGAGTCTTACTGAGAACTGCAATCTCGAAAGTAAATTTCATCATTATTGTCGAGTGATTAAAAAATCAAAAATTTATGGAAAGTGGATTAGAAATTTTATGTGGAAAAATAATGGTGGATTTCATAAATGTGAAGGTGTCAAAGTTTGAAAATCAAGGTTCTAGTATTTCCTTTATAATGTTATTTCGAGTAAATGGTCTTTGAAGTAGGTAGACAGTCAAAGTTAGCTTCTCGAATTTGGTCCAATTCAAAAATAAATGAACAATTCTTTCACAGACAGTTACGAGAATGACACGAAGAGAATGTGATAGCAGTGAGTACTAGTAGTATTAGTGTTGGTAGTGTGGTAGTGATGGCTGATGTTGAGTGGGGTAGCATGCGATCAGGGTCACTCCACAGATTTGGTAAGTGTGTTGTGAGTGTCCTTTCTTGTCAAAGTGATGTAAGAAGAGAGATGCATGAGGTATATTATATGCGGGGGAAGGAAGGTTAAGGCACGCGCCCTTATCTCTTTTCTTCCTTCGTCTTCAGCACTATCAATTCTTCACATTTAGTTCAACAGAGTGTAGTAATGATTGATACTGCTGATGTTGATGGTAGTAGTGTGTATGTGTGTGTGGTATGATATGATATGATATAGTGACATGATACTGTACTATTATCCCTTATTCTCATTTCTTTCTCTCTCTCTGCTATTTGAAAAAATTGAAAGTGATCCAATTTTTTCATCATGTTATTGTTCAAGGAGAGTGGGATGTCTGAGGCCATCTCGTGTTGACCAGTGACCTGACCTGCCTCTCCTTTACATAGCTCTTATCTATACATATATGATGACAACTTAACTCTCACATATTATGGCTAATAGCCGGCCGAAGAGACAACAACGCACGCCCACACAAGATTCTCGTCGTATCGATTCCATTTGAACTGCTTCCACTCGGTCATTACACTGCTCCATGTCCATTCGAAAGTAAGTTATTGAAGCGCAACAGTGATTTATTACTCTATTTTCTTTTATTGGTCACCATCTGCCGTATTTTTCGTTATTTCTCATTCAAAATTATGGAAGGCAATGTGATTTTCGAGTGGTAATTGGATGTTTTAATTAATTAGCATGAAAGAAGGAATGTAAGTATAATCGTAACTATTTAATTTATTTCATTCAGTTCTAAATTCACTTACATACACATAACCATCTCTTCTCGTAGAAAATGTTTAAATGATGACGTGAAAATTTGACGATTGTACAATTAGTAACATTTTTTAAAATCATTTTTGATTGAAGATATTTTCACAATTTGTGCGTAGTTAATTTGAGTACGAAAACCATATGGTAGTATCCATTCATTCATCCTTTTTCCTTTTCTCTTTATTGGACGAAATTCGATAAGTGGTTGTTTTTTTTTTTCATCCTGAATAAATGCGTTATATATTTTTAAAAAATTGTGCTGGTAGAGCATACGCAGGGAATTTCTTCCTCTATTTTACTTTTCAAATTCATTGAGAGGATTTGACAGAAGTTAATGCTGAACAACGGACTGATATTTACACGTATGCACGTTGATTTATACCTTTATTATTGTTATAATGGAATTTTTAATTAATCTTTGAATCATTTCTTTCGCAGAAAACTGTCTCCTGAATCGTATATGACATTCAATGAACGTGAATCAGTATGTAACGTTGCAGTTTGTAGAGTTTTATCATTGAGCATGAGCCTGAATCAGCAAGGCATGCGAGAACGATGCCTTTTTCTTTTTCCTTATGGTTAGTCATAGCATATATTGTGTTATGATACTATGGTACAATTTCAGGGGAGAGAAAATAGTTGATCATTTTTTTCGGTCTCCACTACACACAACCAAACAGCGACCAGTCAGTCGTCTTTCGTCCTTCTCTCTTTTCACTTTTTATAATAAAGAAAAAACTTAGTTGTTCATCACTTCCTTCCATTCATCAAAACCATTGCACACACAAAAAAATGAGAGCTATTTTAGAGGGCAGAAGCAATCCTTAATGCATTTTTTCAATGTTTTATGCAGAACGGTGCGGCGCTCCAGTAGCAGTAGCGGTAGAGGCAATAGTGATTGCGATCCGCGACGAGGCTAGTTTTTATTTCTTCTCTCTTTTCCCTTTTATTTTTCATTACTATCGTCGAGCGTCACTAACAGTAGCTACGAAGAGTTTTTTTTTGATTATAATAATAGTTTTTGCCATTAAATTTATTGTTTTAACAGTCCTCAATATGTAAACCTTTATTGAGCTGCCACTCTTAATTGCTTCTTTTCTTGTTTTGTTTTGTTCATTATCTTAAATGAAGAAAAATTTTTTTTTTTTTTAAATTTATTTATTTTGAAATTTAGCAGCAGCTTTTATTTATACCCTTTAATTGTCCAATTATTCCCCTACATCTCTTTTTTGTTTTACCAACTTACTTCAAACTCTGTATGAGCCAGTCTTCCTAGTGTGATATTCAGTGCGAAATGCAAAATTAATGCTCACTGACGCCTTTTATTTTTTTGTCCAACTATTTCCCCACATTTTTCTTAGTTCAGATTTTTCTACTTCAAAGTCCATATTTTTAGTGTGAAATTCAGTGCGAAATACAAAATTAAAACGCCTTTTACCCATGACGCCTTTTATTTGAATTGCCTCTCATAAAATTCGAACTTCTATTATTATTTAGTGAAGATCTCAGTGGTACCATGCAATAAGCTATTATTTTAATAATTTCTAGTTTTGTTGTCTTTATATCCTAGTTTATGGAAGTTTCTCATCAAATTTCATCTTTTCGAAATCGAACTTTTAATTTTTGTCCTATTTTCGAATTCTTAATTAATAATTAAATCTTGTGGTTTTTTATTTCTTTTATTGAAAAAGTAATATGTGAATAAATTTTTTTATCTCACAGTAAATGAATATTGGACGGCTGAGCTGCTTCAGCTACCATTAAATCGAAATGGGAGATGAAATGGAATAGTTATCGTGAGTGCACTGAGTTGATTTATTTGTGAAGGTATATGGTACTCATCTTGCTTTTTACATTACTCTCACAGATAGACATTTATAAATTTCATTAATCGTCTACCACAAATTTGAAATTATATACTTAAAGAATAGTTCTGCATGAAGTGAAATCAAAATTTCTTACTAATCTTTTTCATTTGTTATCAATTGTATTCCTTGAAGTAGGTTTGAGAACTTAGAGATGCAGCTTACTTAACTTTATAATAAAGAATTCCTAGAAAAAGCGAAATAAAAACAGACATGACTATTAGGTGTAAAACTGTCGGTGCTTTTCCTAACATGGCAGATGTTTCTTTGTGTTCCTTATAAATTCCAGTAATGTTTAATATTTGTAGATGTAGATTAGCACCTGCGTACGAATTACCAATTACAGAAAATGACAACATTCGCCTTGACTTACAAGTCGTTTTAGAGGTGAAGTGGCATTCTTACAGAGATTTTTGAAGAATACAGTTTGGTCATTCATATATTGTCGACCATTACGTCATCATCACTCTTATCATTATCATCATCAGCACCGTCGTTGTTCGTCATCGTTGATCACAGTGTTTTTTATCATTATATTCATCATCATTATAAAAATATATCTTATATACATATGTTAGCAGAGATTCGACTGTCGTAGCGTTACCTCTTCCCTACTTTTTATTTTCAACTTTATTTCTCGCTAACATTTTCCTTTCCGACAAAATTTTCTGCACTTTATTACAAATTTTAAATGCCATGTAAACTGTATTCTTACTTTAAAAACTTCAGACTTAGTTTGGTTTATTAGCTTTCTGAATATCACATCCTGTGATTCAGCTCATTATATACACAGAACGAGTCATCAACTACAAATTTCATAATTATTTGAATCTTATAACTAATTGCCTATTGCTTTATTTTAACTTTCTGTTACATTTTTCATTAGAAATTTAAGTTGAAAAATATATAAATGATATGAATTTCTTGTTAACAAGCGCGTATCAGTCCAACTGCAATGTTGATAAGATGAGACCACCTGCTTAACATATCGAGGACACATTTGATTTTTAGCGTCAAGGATCCAGTTGTGCTGGTCACGTAAATTAGCTGCCATATAATCAATACTATTGAGCAGCTTTGAACTGCTAATTTTCATTTCGGCTTACCAATGGATTGCAAATCATTTCTTTCAGCGTTGAAATAGTATAGTGTGATATGGTACTTTCCCCAAAATCAACTTTATCATTGCAAATGAATCATACAGATTTTATTATTTTTGTCTCTTTCAATTACAGATGTCCTTTTTTTCATCGTAAAAAGAGGAAATAGCACTTCCATTGCATGTCAGCTACAAAAATTCTGGCTTTAGGAATTAATTCAGGGAGGATTTTCAACCCTCCTGGAAGCTGTCTTTTGCTACAAAAGGAATAAGACTGAAAATAATTTTTGCTGTTTGTTGATTAAGTTATGAATAATTTAAGTGAACAAATTTGTCATTAATCGACTAGTTGGCTACTACTG